TCCTGAACTTCTCATTACAGAGTTCTAAATTAGGGGGTCTCATTAAAAGTGCCTTGGAGGTCGAGATCAAGGTCATCCTCAAGATGACTACCGATTAGCCTAATTACAATTGTACAACTTGTTGTATGGCACTTTTTTTCTAAAAAATACTATCCCACAAATTATTAAATCGTCTCAAGGTAAATCAAATTATTTTTGAATGTCTCATTTTTACGGTGCAAATAAATAACTGACTTTTATAAGTAGAACACCCTGTATTGTCGCCATCTTGTTAATATTTTCCGGATAATTCCCCATAAGTAAGCCTCACTTTTATGAATCGTAGCGTTGAGCAAGAATGTTAATCGGAGTAATCGGCAACACTTTCATAACGAGAAACTTGGGTTTAGTGATACAGAGTGTTCGCAATGAAATGGTAAATTTTCCGAATGTCAAAGTGCCATAACTTTTTTTTTCAAATAGAACTACCACTATTTTTTTTCGCTATTCGATAGTGTAAACCCTCTGAATCAGTCCCGGTAGGTACATGTACTCTTTCTACAAGCATTCTTCTACGGGCCCGCATTTACTGCGAGCCGACCAGCCAGCCAAAGTGAGATTCAATGCTACCTTTTTACAAATAAATTTGTAAAAACGGGCTAAAAAGACAATTTAAATTGTAAAGTTTTAAAATAGGTCCTAAGTAGAAGGAATTTGCGATGTATCGGTAGTAATCCGTCTAAGGTCTTCGTAGCAACTAGAATTTAGCACCACAATTGTACGGAGTATGGAATTTGAGGGAGGGAGTAACCCGTTACTAATTTAACGTTTAGCATATTGTTACATAATTTAACACCACGATTCTATGGAATAGGAAGATTCGATTGTCCTTTCCCAGGGTTATCAAACCTTTATTCACTAAAAGAGCTTTAAGAACCTTCTTAACGCCTTCTTTACAAGGCATTTCGTGTTTAACGACTGCACCTGCAAAAGTCAAAATGTCAAGAGCCTTTTAAGATACTTTACAGTTTTACGTTTTTATTTGTTTTTAAAAATATTTAAAGGGATTTTAATAACCTTCAAGAGCTCTGAAGAGGAATTCTGCAAAAAAAAGTACGTAGAGTTGGGAAGTTTTGGTTTCAAAATTTACAAAATTCCCGGTATAGGAAATTTTACACGTGTACTGCTCATAATGAAAAAGAACAGAACTGATGGCCAAACAAGTCAAGTGCGTTAAGATAAGAAACGAGTGTTCAAGCAGATCAGAGTCCAAACTCTACAGTGTTGCGTGTTCTAAAACGAGGGACGTCGTTTCTGCTATACCTTCATATGCATAAAAACATAATAACAATCGGTGTTTCGTTGGGTCCGTGTTGGGTGTAGGATTCGGTGAGTATACAAGTAAAAATCGGGTGGGAGGGAGGCATTCTTGGCCAAACTTTCGAAGCGAATCTGTGCAAGTCGAGCGCAGCGTTGTGGTCTTAGTCAGACTAAAACTATTTATTAGTTGGCACTCCAACGTACGGAATTTTTCTGCCCCACACGAACCGAAAAATTTTAAATCAAAAAACCGCTCCTGTTACAGAACGCATTTCGACGTGGAGGGGTTCCTGTCGGATCGTCGTCAGAAAAGATGATATTCAAAATCGCGGCCATCGTTTGCCGTTCGGAAACAGTGTATCTGTCACGGTCGCGAACATTGGAACAAGGGTCGAAGGGAGCTTGCTGTTGAGAGGATGTGCGGTAAACTACTCTCCAGGGGTTAGCCGACACGCTAGACTCGACAAAACGCCGCCATGTAATAATTGTATAGAGACGTTGTCATAGAGATAAGTTGTAAATTGGTTATCGTTAGAATAAAAGTTGTTAGCAAGTCTACAACCTTTCTCCAGCGAATACATAACACCATGATCCATATCTTGTTTTGGAGCTGTCATGTACTTTCTCCTGTTCGAAATGTACACACTTCTGACCTTTAAACAAATGCTTATTCATAAATGCAATATAGGTAAATCTGGTGATGCAGATGGTTCTCATAGGTCGATTCCTTTAGGAATATTAAAATTACTTCAAACAAAATTAAGTATGCAAATTCTTAAAAATAACCGACCACTATTTTATACAAGTAAGTAATAAACATTTAAAATAACTCACAATTATTGACGTGGGTAATATTTTCTTTTTGTAACAATTTATTATATCTATCCTTGGAAAATGCCGATTCCTTTAGAAATATGGTCGCGAAATATAACGAAATATATCACTATGAAATTCTGGTGTGCCAGCTCTTGGAATTCTTACGGAATTGCTGCTAAACTTTTGGAATTCAGTCTTTTTACGAGCTATTGTTTAGGCGCTGATTTACTTTTTATTGATTTATAATAATATTACCTGGAATTCATACAATATTGCCGAAAATGAGGCTAGTTCATTTATAATTGCTTAAAAAGCGAGCCGATTTTATTGAAATTGTTGAAGCATTCTTTACGTCAATTGGCTTTAAGACAAAATGGCATCTGAGAAGTTTCCCTGAGCCGCTGGGAGCACGCTTGAGGAGGGGCGCATGCGCGCTTAAAAAATTCGCTGCTCCGAAACACGGTTCGAGAACGTAACGACTTGAGCTAGTCCGCGGATCCTGGGGAGCGGGGGTGTTGGGGGGGAGCAGGGAAACCGTGGGGGTGACTGCCGTAAGAAACGAACAAATCGAAAAAAAGATAAAACAATTCGTAGCCGGAAAACAAATCCTTTTTCATAAATGTAATACAAATCCGTTCATGCAGATGGTTCCCATAGGTCGATTTCTTTAAGAATATTAAAATTACTTCAAACAAAATTAAGTTTGCAAATTCTTAAAAATAGCCGACCACTATTTTATACAAGTAAAAAACATTTAAAATAACTCACAATTATTGACGTGGGTAATATTTTCTTTTTGTAACAATTTATTATATCTATCCTTGGAAAATGCCGATTCCTTTAGAAATATGGACGCGAAATATAACGAAATATATATCACTATGGAATTCTGGTGTGCCAGCTCTTGGAATTCTTACGGAATTGCTGCTAAACTTTTGGAATTCATAGAATTATTTTGGAATTCAGTCTTTTTACGAGCTATTGTTTAGGTTCTGACTTACTTTTTATTGATTTATAATAATTACCTGAAATTCATACAATATTGCCGAAAATGAGACTAGTTCATTTATAATCTCTTAAAAAGCGAGCCGATTTGATGAAATTTTTGAAGCGTTCTTTACGTCAATTGGCTTTAAGACAAAATTGCATGTGGGAAGTTTCCTTGAGCCGCTGGGCAGCACGCTCGAGGAGGGGCGCATGCGCGCTTAAAAATTCGCTGCTCCGAGACGGTTCGACGTACGACTTCAAAGCACGAGCGATAGGAAGGGAGGGGGGGGGGGGGTCAGAGAGACCGTGGGGGCGACTGCCGTAAGCAACGAACAAATCGAAAAAAAAAGATAAAACAATTCGTAGCCGGAAAACAAATCCGTTTTCATAAATGTAATACAAATCCGTTCATGCAGATGGTTCTCATAGGTCGATTCCTTTAAGAATATTAAAATTACTTCAAACAAAATCAAGTATGCAAATTCTTAAAATAACCGACTACTATTTTACACAAGTAAAAAACATTTAAAGTAACTCACAATTATTGACGTGGGTAATATTTTCTTTTTGTAACAATTTATTATATCTGTCCTTGGAAAATGCCGATTCCTTTAGAAATATCGACGCAAAATATAACGCAAGGGGCAAGCACTATGGAATTTTGGTGTACCAGCTCTTGGAATTCATGGAATTGTTACGGAATTGCTGGTAAACTATTGGAATTCAGTCTTTTTACGAGCTATTGTTTAGGTTCTGACTTACTTTTTATTGATTTATAATAATTACCTGGAATTCATACAATATTGCCGAAAATGAGGCTAGTTCATTTATAATTGCTTAAAAAGCGAGCCGATTTTGATGAAATTTTTGAAGCATTCTTTACGTCAATTGTCTTTAAGACAAGATGGCATCTGGGACGCTCCCCTGAGCCGCTGGGCTGCACGCTTGAGGAGGGGCGCATGCGCGCTTAAAAATTCGCTGCTTCGAGACGGTTAAACGTACGACTTCGAGCCGCGGGTTGGGGGGGGGATGTCACGGTGACCGTGGGGGTTCTGCGTTCTCGAATAGGGCGACATAGGTACATACCTTATTTTTGAAGGTCTCTTCCTTTTGGAATTCTAGGACATATTTTTGCGCAGTGGTTGACCCCATGGTTTAATGTCAGTTTATTTAATCCCGTTTTTATTTGAAAAGAGGTTCCCCGATTCGAAAATGTTCCTTCGCGTAAATTGTATCACCCGTAAATAAAAAGACCGTGTTACGAACCAGGCTCCTAAAAAGCTGTTTCATCATCCCCCCCCCCTTTTTTTTTACTGTAATTCGTTTATTAGCACACATAAAATTGCAAGTAAGTCGCCATTTGTCACAAGCACGGATTTGTTTAAATATTTCTCCATGACGTACTCAAAATTTTCTCTCTCTGCAATAGGGTTCTTGTTATCGCCTGACATACTTTTGTTCACGTTCACTTTGATGCGGTATGTTTGTAAATTCAAAACTAGAACCCTACTGAGATAAAATTACTCCTTTTATCTACGATTCTCCGAAGCCTAAAGTTTCCGAAACCCATTACGAAAACAATGCGCCATAGAAGTTAACAGACGTAGAAAAGATAATTGCACACAGGCCATTTCTTACAATTCCACCACTTGTGTTATTTACTGGAAAAGTTTACTCTCCAATTTTGACACAACAAATGCCAATTTAGAGCTACCGTTACAAGAGGTAGGAGAAATTCCAAGAAAATCGTAGCAACTCGCAGAGGAACAGGAGGGGACTCCCATACATTTCTCTGACTCCTTAGCCTTTCTTTGTGCAAGTTTCCTTCAGAGTCACTACACAAAACCTTAAATTCTAATAAAAGTATCCGCTTAAGCATTAATTTATTAGAGCTTCACATTTACACCATGAACGAATTAAAGAGTGACAAAAGCACATGAGTCACCTGCGCGGTGCATTTACTCATTGTGGACGTAAGCGTCGTCCTCCAACAGTTCGGGAGAGCCCGACCAATAGTGACGGCCGTACTTCCTGAGGTTGCACACCAAACGCAAAGACAGAAAGTAGAAAATTTCAATTATGGAAAGAAGCGAGAATCCCATAAACAGTCCCAGCAACCCCCCGCAGTTGGCGAGGAAATCCGTGGGACCGTACAGCTCGTTCCTCTCCGACGTGATGAACTGCATTTCTTTGAAGAAGAGGGTGATACTGGTCAGGTTTGCGCTGAAAGAACGCTTAGGTTACGGTAGGTGTTTGCGATTTCGGAGGAGCTCACCCAGCTAGTCCGCGATACTTGGCCTTGGTCGCCTCAAACACTTTGTACCACTGGAAATCTGCCTGGGAGTTTTCTGAGTTGTAAGTCAGTGAGGTACAGGCCGGTAGGCAGTCGCAATCCGGTCGGTCCCAAACCTGCGCGTTTTTATTGAACTTGTTCTCGATCTCCTCCATGAGCAAATCGACTGTGGTTGTGATACGTGGTGAGCTGGTGAACTTAAAAGTCGTTACTTACCAGATGCGTTATGAACGCAGAGGGTCTTTCCCGATCCGCACAGCTTGGTGTTTTCGTCATCTGAAACGAAACAGCTAACACTACACGCGTTTCACTATGGTACTGTAACGGAAACGCTCCAGACATGACGTCGCCTTTGGCGCTCTGAAATTTTCTACGCGCGCGATAGTGGGATTTGTATAGGAATATTCGAGACTTATCCGGTAATTACGCGAGAGTTCTAGACTTACATTGCTTGCGTGTATCAATGGTTGCGGACCGAACATCGCAGTAAGTTTACTACCGAACGAGATCGAGTACGGATGAAACATCGAGCGCGGAAATATAAATTGCGAAGTGTGTGATATAAATAGTCGATATAAATTGTACAGTTTTTATAGTGTTTTAGTTTTGTTTAATAAATATTGATATAAATCGAACCCGAATTTATAAATCACGTTACATTGGTGTCAGGTGTGGGGTTAATTAAATTAATTAAAAGTAAGATTAAATTAAGTGCTTCTGCTTGTGTATGCCTGTAACAAGATCTGCTGCCGCTAAAATGGAAGAAACGATGCTCAATTTGCTCCAGCAAATCCAAAATGGCCAACAGGTGTTGCAACAAGAAATGAAAAGCAACCAAGAGAAGATGGAAGAAAATGCTAGAAATTTTGAAGAGAAGATGGAAGAAAATTCTAGAAATTTTGAAGAGAAGTTCGAGAAAATGGAAGAAAATTCTAGAAAGATTAATGAAGAAAATTCTAGAAATATTCAAGAGAAATTCGAGAAGATTGAGGAAAATTCTAGAAAAATGGACGAGAAGTTCGAAAAGATGGAGGAAAATTATAGAAAGATTATCGAAGAAGTCTCTAAATCAATTGAAGAAAAAGTTGAAGATAGAATTACGGAAGTTTCCAAAACATTTAAAGCAACATTCGTTGAGATTGAGCACAAGTATGAAGAGCTGCGCGAGCAATTCTTGCGACTGACTACGGAAGAGCGTACTAGTAGTGCCCCAGATGAATTACTGATGGACCGTCTTCTTGAGGTGCCACAGTCTACTCATTACAAGAAGGTCGACCCAGAAACAAATACAAGAGTAGAAGGCGACGTTCAGCAAGCCCGAGTAAAGCCACCTACTTTTGATGGTAAGATTCCTTGGACCACGTACGTTCGACAGTTTGAAGCAGCGGCTGCGGCAAATAAATGGACTCTTCAAGACAAAACTACAGCCCTGATTCTTGCTCTGAGAGGAGATGCTCTGGATGTGTTGCGGACCATCCCCGAGGATCAACAGAACTTCCAACAAATAGTAGCGCGACTCGAAATGCGATATGGCGATAAACACCTTCAGCAAGTTTACTATGCCCAAGTCAAGAACCGAATGCAGAAACCTGGAGAAAGTTTGCAGGAACTTGAAGCGGACATCGCTAGACTGATTCGATTGGCAAACCCTACGGCACCGGAGAGCTTTCTTGATCAACTGGCTGTACAAACATTTATCGATGCCGTTCGTGATGGAGATGCCCAGCAGGCTTTGAGACTGGCTAGGCACGACAAAATTGAGAAAGCTTTGGCCCATGCGTTAGAATTCGAAGCCGCCAAGAAAGCTAGTCATGGAAGTGCGCGAGTACGTATGGTGGAACCTCGCAGTGACAGCCGGGTAAGAACCATCGAAGAGGAAGGTGGCTCTGAAAGTTTTGAAGAAAAGGTCAGTAAAGTAGTGGTAGAAAAGGTCAGTAAAGTAATGGAAGAAAAGGTCAATAAAGCAATACAGTCACTGGCAAAGAAACGTGAACCACGATGTTGGAATTGCGGCGAGATTGGATACGTTCGCCGCAACTGCCAAAAAACCATTGCAGCAGTCGGAAAACATAGAAAGTCGATAGGAAGGGGCTATCGTCGACCTGCAGAAACAAAGCCCCGATCTTCACTGTAAACATTACGTCGTCTGGAAGAGTTCTGAGTCTGTACATCGACGGCCGAGTTAATGGAGAAGACAGATCCTTGCTAGTAGACACAGGTGCAACAAGAACTATTGCAAGACCAGAGTTATTGAAGAATCATTCTCGGATCTCATCTTCGACCGTGCAGTTAAAAACAGCAACTGGTGAAAGAATAAAAACGCACGCAGAAATACAAATGTCTGTCACCATCGGAAAGACCACCATCAATCATCAGGTGCTAATTGCTGATACTTCTCATCAATTCATCTTGGGGATGGATCTTCTTAAGAAACTCGGAGCTGTGTTAGACGTGAAAAAGGGCGTGTTAAAGGTCGGCGATGAAGAACTCCCTTTCCATGAAGACAAAGAAGATGTCATCCGCCTGTTAACCACTCATGGCGTCATTATACCCGGACTTAGTGAAAAAATTATAATGACCACTTTAGATGGATATTGTCGCCAGGGAAGCCTACGGATACTCGAAGCACCAAACGAAAAGGAATTTCTAGTAGCTAGGGCTCTGGTAAAAGTTCAAAATGGCGTTCCGATTCGAATTATGAATTTGAAAGATAGTCCTGTTAAGCTAAGCAAACGAACTGCAGTTGGACAGTGTGTACCCATCTCGGCTATTCGCTCTGTGAGATCGGAAAATCTATCTAAAGGAAAGTATCCAAGAGAGCTGACATGTCTGGTATATTTGGATGATGTAATTGTCGTAGGAAAAACTTTTGAAGAACACCTAAAGAACCTGAGAGAGGTGTTTGGACGATTACGAGAGGCCAATTTAAAACTATGTCCCAAGAAATGCTTTATGTTCCAAAAAGAAGTTAAATATTTGGGGCACATCGTATCTCGTGATGGTGTTACAGCTGACCCAGAGAAGATTATAGCGATTCAAGAGTGGCCGATTCCTGAGAACAAGCACGAGATTCGAAGTTTCCTCGGTTTGTGCACCTATTATAGACGATTCGTGAAAGGATTTGCCAACATTGCCAAACCATTAATAAAGTTGACAGAAGAGGGCAATGAGTACGAATGGAGTGAAGACTGTCAAAGAGCTTTCGAACATCTCCGGCAAGCTCTTACTAGCGCACCTATCCTTGGCTACCCCAGAAATGAAGGAAAGTTTGTGCTAGATACCGATGCCAGTAACACCGCCATTGGAGCTGTTCTCTCTCAATTGCAAGACGGACAGGAAAGAGTCATTGCCTATTTCAGCAAAGTACTGTCGAAACCCGAGAGGAATTATTGTGTGACTAGGCGAGAGCTCCTGGGTGTGGTAAAGGCATGCGAACATTTCCATAAGTACCTTTACGGCCGCAAGTTCCTGATAAGGACAGATCATGCAGCGCTAAAGTGGCTCTTGCAGTTCCGAAGCCTAGAAGGACAGGTGGCAAGATGGTTAGAACGTCTTCAGGAATATGACTACGACATTGAACACAGGGCTGGAAAAGTTCACAATAATGCAGACGCTTTGTCAAGAAGACCGTGCAAGGACAACTGCACACATTGTTCTAAAATAGAAGACAAGATTCGCCATCTGCGACGAACAACTGTAGAGAGTGAGGAGTGGAAGCCAAGCGAAATCAAAACGGCCCAAGAAAACGACCCAAGTATAAAAACTGTCCTGAATTGGATGCGCCACGGACAAAGACCAGACTGGCAAGACATTAGTGCCACAAGTCCTGAAGTAAAGAGTTATTGGGCCAATGGAATAGCCTGACTCTGAAAGACAACCTGTTGTATAGGACCCTTGAAAGTGAAGATGGCACCGAATCGACGCTGCAATTAGTAGTACCTAGAAGCAAAGTGTCGGAAGTATTGCGAAAATTGCATGACGGCGCTTCCGGAGGACACTTTGGTATTACGAAAACGTTGCAAAGGGTACGTGAGCGATTCTATTGGGTCAACCGTAAAGAAGATGTCCGGCGATGGTGTCAAAAATGTGAGTTATGTGCTACTGGAAACGGACCAGTTTCCAAGAAGAAGGCACCCATGAGGCAGTATAACGTTGGTAGTCCGATGGAACGAGTTGCTATCGATATCGCAGGACCGTTTCCCGAGACAGATGGCGGAAATAAATATATCCTAGTCGCTATGGATTATTTCACAAAGTGGACTGAAGCTTACGCCATTCCAAACCAAGAGGCAGCAACAGTTGCAGAAGTGTTGGTAAAGGAGTTCTTTACACGTTTTGGTGTTCCTATAGAAATCCATTCAGACCAAGGAAGGAACTTTGAATCGGCTTTGTTCCAAGATGTTTGTCGATTGGTAGGAGCCAATAAAACCAGAACAACACCTTTGCATCCTCAGTCAGATGGAATGGTAGAGAGAATGAATCGAACGATGGGTAAATATCTTTCAAAAGTCGTGGCAGAACATCAGAAAAATTGGGACCAGTACCTCCACCTGTTCCTTATGGCATATCGATCAGCCGTCAACGAAACCACGGGTCAGACTCCTGCCTGCCTTATGTTGGGTCGTGAACTACGCCTTCCATGTGACCTCGAGTTTGGGCGTAAACCCCATGAAGAATATGTCGCAGGTGAAAATTATGTTGACCAACTAAAGGCGTAGATGAACGACATTCACGACTTGGCTAGAAGTCATATTCAGATTGCCAGCGATCGCATGAAAAATCAATACAACCTCCGCTCGGCCAATGAAACTTTTGAAGCTGGAGATCTGGTATGGCTGCACAATCCACAGAGACGAAGAGGTCTTTCTCCCAAGCTACAAAGACAATGGGAAGGTCCGTATGAGGTGATCAAGAAAATAAATGACGTGATATATCGTATCAGAATGAACCACCGGAAACCGAAAGTTGTCCACATTAATCAACTCGCACGATATGCCGGATCCAACAACAACGAAGAAGTTAGAGGTATTCGAGAAGAGGAACGCAGCTTTGGGATCGAGCCAAAGTTTAACGATTTTATGTCAAATTACGCCCAGCGGAAGAAAGCTCGATTTGGCGTTACTCAGGAAATTTGTCAAAATATTTTTGAGCTTCCGATTAACGTTTCCATCGCCCATTGTGTCGCCGAAGACCTTCGCATGGGTAGAGGTATAGCTTCCGTATTCCGGAAAAGATTTGGAAGAATGGACGAGTTGTTAAAGCAAAGACCACGAGTGGGTAAAGTACTGCGCTTGGAAGATAGTCAACGCTCTTTGTTCTACTTGGTTTCAAAGAAAACGTCAGAAGGCAAACCCACCTATGAAAACCTCTGGTCTGCTTTAAAAAGCTTAAAGAAACTCATGGCATACTATGACATAAATAGCTTGGCGATCCCGAAGATTGGATGTGGTTTAGATGGGTTGGACTGGAAGATAGTGCGAACCATGATCGAAGTGATTTTTAGAAACACTAGCGTTCGAATTACAGTATGCTGCTTCAACCCACAGGGGACGACCCTCCGCAAAACTGTGGACTGCTTACTTTTTCAAGAAAGGTGTTTGTCGAGCAGGCTCTGACTGCAGATTCCGACACGAGGCATTAAAAAGTAATACTAACGCAGTTTCTGAACGAGACGTCCAGAATTAAGAAGGGGGCAGTGTAACGGAAACGCTCCAGACATGACGTCGCCTTTGGCGCTCTGGAATTTTCTACGCGCGCGATAGTGGGATTTGTATAGGAATATTCGAGACTTATCCGGTAATTACGCGAGTGTTCTGGACTTACATTGCTTGCGTGTATAAATGGTTGCGGACCGAACATCGCAGTAAGTGTACTACCGAACGAAATCGAGTACGGATGAAACATCGAGCGCGGAAATATAAATTGCGAAGTGTGTGATATAAATAGTCGATATAAATTGTACAGTTTTTATAGTGTTTTAGTTTTGTTTAATAAATATTGATATAAATCGAACCCGAATTTATAAATCACGTTACAGTACTTACGTGGCATGTGATAGGATACGCAACCGCAGTGAATGAGGGTGTAGTTCGTCACGCACTCAACGTCGCAGTTTTGCTGAGTATACACCTGGTAAAAGCGCAATTGCCGCTCGGAAGGGAAGTAACACTGCCTTCGGTGGGGGTCGTAGTTCCTCAACCCTTCGGATGTGGTCATCATATCGGGCTTGATGGCGACGACACTTTCTTGATTTAGAGGTGCACGAAAGTACTGCTGACTCACCCTGGGCACCTCCGAGGGATGATGCAATAAAACCTTGAAACCCTGCACAGGGCCTCGACAGACGTAGTCCAGATCCTTCTCGAACAGTCTCAACCAAACCGATAACCCCGCACCTTGTCCGGCAGATATCGCACGCTTGGGGTACGCGTTCTGGCCAACATCAGGCGGGTACCCATCTTCCAGTGTCCAGTTCGTTGCCTTCACCCCGTGGTGGAGGTAATCGCCGTTGAAAAACCTGGAACCAAACCATACTGTAGCATTGCGTCGGAGAAGGTTTCACTTACACCGCGTTAGTGTAGAGCTCTTCGCGGTCCAGCATGTTAAACGTGAAACAGATACCTTCCTCAGAGAGAGTAGGTGTGAAAAGCCGGGAGCAATTTTGAATCTGATTCATCCACTTGCACTGGAAGAAGACCTCATCAAACGGAGGGGCGACTTTCCCCAAGAAGTCGATGGTCTCATAGTCAATGGTGTCATTTCCTGAAAGATGCAGGTGATTATCGCAAACGAGACTGATCCGCTCCAGCATGGCGTTTCTAAACAAAGAACGGTTGTAAAAGGCGCCGTGACAGAAAATACGTACTCCTCGCTGGTGACGTTTTGGCCGCTTTCAAAGCGGTTGTACGCGTTCGTGTAATTAAAAATGCTCTGCTTCGTCTTCGTTTCCGAGCAAATTGTGACCGCCGGAAATGGTATGTTCCAAACTGGCGTGGGACTACGTGCGAAACTCACGATGACCGGCGACGTCTGCCATTTTTCGTAGGTTTTGATTATCATAAAAATGCAAATCGACAAAGACGCCAGAATTACCACCGACCACCACAGTCTAAACGACAACGTAATTCGTTACGAAAATTAAGGTGCATACTCACTTTTCGATAACGGTCCTCTTTTTCTCTCCAATGTACTTTATGCCGTGAATGCTCGAGTTACCGCTGTACTCGGAAAAATAATCGTAAAAGTTCTTAACGCACCCTGGATACTTTCGGGGTTTCTTCACCGAATCGACGGACATGGTTACGCTTTTTTCCGAAGACTAATGGCACTCGGAGTGTTAACGCTCAAATTGTTTAGGTGGGGCGTTTTTCCGAAAGGCGTTGTTCATTGAAAAATTATTTGTCAGCGGGACGCATACACGCAGCCCCCAAAGGTGCAAGAATTAGCAAGTCATCAACTGTTTGTGTGGAAACTTTCATTAAATTTTATTGCAGTAGGTATTCTTGGGGGAAAATTGTGCACACGAATATATTGTGACACTTTGGATAATAATTTAAGGGTTGGGTGGCGACAACAACTAAAAACAATCATAACACGTAAAAATGGTACTGTTACAGATCTCCTCTGATCTGGATTTATTTAAATTACTCGCCTTTTATTATTATTCGGATTCCTTCTTCCACCGATTTTCCAGCTCCTAGGGATCCTTTCTTCTTGAGATTCGACTTAACCATCAGATCCCTTAGATTCTTATGATCCTCGCGGTTATTTAGTTTCTTAGGATCCAACTCCTACAACTCTTTCCTTTTCACTTTCGACACTTGGGTTTTTCGGATGAAAGATTTTTCTGTTTCTTTGGATGCTTTCAATTCGTCACGTTGTTCGTAACTTGTACAATTTTATTCTCTACGGCACCGGTGTTACTGTAACAATTAATTTTTAGTAATGAAATGATTACTACCACGGCTAGTTCAGTAATGAGTAAATCTTCAATGACTCTTACCTTGTAAAGCCAAAAAAAATAGAACAAGTGGGAGGAAAGAAAATTAGAGGAATGTCAGGATACTACAATGAAAGTATGAGAAAAAGGGGCTATAGAAGAGGTAGGAAGAGAGGACGGTGAAGAAGATGAGATACCAAGAGCAGGAATTAACAAGACTGAAGGAAGGGGGAGACGAGATAGGTAATGGGGCATGGATTCTCTCCACAGACAGGATCAAGGAAAGGATGAGAAGTCTAGTAAACAAGGTAGTGAAAACAGGGTGTTCGCGCAGGAAGGGGTAATTGTGACGATCTTAAGAAGAGGGAACAAAGATGGTGTGGGAATTATAGGAGAATTACTACAATGACTGAGGAGGAATTCGAAAAAAAGACTTACAGGCAGCGTTTGACAGAGTGAAACGGGAAAAGGTATGGAAGATGAGAAAATTGACAGGGTAGAATCAAGGAAGTATGTAGACAGACAAGGTTGAGGATAGAAATAGAAGGGAAGGAGTCCGAACTGTTTTATACATGTAAAGGATTAAGACAGGGATGCCCACTTAGCCCAAGCTAATTTAATTTCTGCTTAAGAGACATGGAAATTAGGAGATTAAGACAGTGCCAAGGTGGAGCGATAGTAATGTGTCCCTGGCATATGCACACGACGCAAGGATCATGGGAACAGCGGTCGAAAAAGATGGGAAGAATGGAAAGGTATTGGGAAAGGGAAGGAATGAAGTTACATGTAGAAAAGTCGAAGATGATGACATTTGAGAAGGGGAGTGGAAGGAAATGGAGGTGGAAAAGAATAGAAGAATAGAATAGAATGCAAAGAAACAATCGGGCAAATTCGCAGATAACAGAATTAAGGCAAAAGGGGGTGGTGGCGATTAGACAGGTGCGGAAAATTGGAGAGAGGAAGTTCAAGAATGATTTTAGAACAAGAAAGTACCTCTCCGATGCAATAGTGAGCGAGGTGCTCGTGTCCGGAACGGAAATACGAGGGCGGAAGGAACTGGACAATAATTTAAGGGCATTGGGGTTAAACCAAAGGACACAAAATTGTATATTAGAGGAGGAACAAAAATGGGAAAGGATCGAGGAAAGGGGCGATAGGAAAAGAAAATTGGCGAAAGAATCCTTGACAACGAGGATGAAGGGAGAAAGAAAGAGGAGAAATGGATGCGAACGTGCTGAGGTGGAAAGGAGGAGAAAAGATGGAAAATGAGCTGGCAAATAAAGGATCTCACAAATACAACAATCATGGGTGAATTTAATAAGGGAGTCGCTACCGTGGGAAGGATAGAACAATATTAAAACAATAGCCAAGTTCAGACGGGGAAAGGAAGAGAAAGGGAAGGAGAAATCGCGACAGGAAGAAGAAAAAAATGTAGATCATGATTCGAGGAAGAAGAGGGGGGGCTCCCTCGGCTGGCAGGGTTCCGCTGGAATGCGCAGGGTGCCATTGTGGTCGAATGCGAGGACCAGTGGACCTTGTCGGAGAGGATCGTTCCTCTTATTAGGCCCTAGGATGACGCGTCTCTGAAGGTTTGGAGGCAGGTTCCTAGGGTAATTACAGTGGTGGCTGTGCTGTACGGGCTCTACGCCTTCAGATGCAAAATCCTGGTTTCAGGACGAGTCTATGGAAGACGTTCTTCCGCGGGGAGACGCCTGGCAGGGTCCTCCTCGCATTTAGTGTCGATGAGTCATCCTATCGCGGGGCACTCCATCGGCAAAACTTTTAGGCACACGCGGCGGTCTCGCACGTCACTTTTGTGACGAAATCCAGCCTGCCCCATGTAAAGGAAAGAGCTCCGTCGGAGTAGCGGGACTCGGTGCAGTTGCGACGGAGGGGGCTCAATCCTTCGCTATCGACTTCGAAGATGCTACGGGATTACTACCGGCGCGCTCAGAGATAGATCGAGAAAGATGTCGACGAGCTTTTTTTGGTTCGTGTGGCGGTTCTTAGCTACGACCAGGGACCGGAACCGGCGGCATCGCTAGGGGAGGGGAAACCTAGTACATCGGCGCAAGGTAACCTTCTTACAGATCAATTTGCAGCAGAGCAAGGGACGTCAACTTGTTGCAAACGCGTATGCCTCATAAAAGAACCTTGGTTTTATAAGGGACGAGTAAAAGATCTGGGCCAGGACTATCTTTATTATAAGAAGGACAGTCAACTAAATCCTAGAGCTCGTATTTATGTCGATAAACGATAAACGTGGTCTTCAGGGATCTCCTCGCTCTAATACTTCAGCTGAAAGATGGCAGGGGATGGAGCAGGCACTTGGTGAACTGCCGTACGATTCGGAAGAGGCTCCACAAACCAAGGAGCGGGCTGAGTTTATAGTGTACTATCCAAATAGTGGGCGAAACTAAAACTGTCAGAACGGTTGGATGTACCATCCTTGGTCGGTTGGAAAACAGAGCAGGTGGATGAGGCGGCCGCAGCTGTAAAGTGCGGACCTTTCCAGGAACGAAGAGAACACCTTGGTGGAACTCACACCTTGAAAAGATTCGTAAGGAGGTCTTTAATAGAAGATTGGTCAGCGCAGGTACAAGGACCGTATTCGAAGGTCTGAATGAGGATCATGGACGTCCTTCTATGGTAACACGGAGAGTTAAAAAACTTCGTAAGATCCTTTTGAAAACTCCGGCGTAAAAAGTGGGGACACTAAGGCTTCCATGTGGCAGATATACATTCACCGCGCGGGAGGCTCTCCACATATCTCCTGGAAACACATTCCCAGGCTGTGGGGAGGAGGTGTAAGGCCGATCGACTGGAAAGTAGCTGCCCGGGTGGTTACCGTACCGGACTCAGACAGTCCAGGTCCTTTTCAACAGGACCCCCTTGTGGAGAAGCCCACGTGCAGATTGTGTGGCGAGGCAGATTAAACTACCGAACACGTGGTCTGTCACTGTCCTTGTCGACAGCTATCTGGAGCCGGGGAGAGTCGAGCAACTTGGGTTAAACACGGTCCTATCCTTTCTTGAGAAGAACGGGCTCTGAACCTAGTTGCAAAAGAAATGGGGTAAGCACAAGGGGCCTTCGGTGTGCCTAAGTGCTGCCAGGTCGGGCTCCCCTGTAGAGTAGAATAGAAAGTGGCAGTAGTTTTGGGATTAGTTCGGGTTTAAAATAGATTCGATTTTTGACCAATCGTTACAACCAGTACTAATTTGTGTTTCAAACGTAAAATATAACAACACGAGTTCCGGTAATTACCGCTGATTAATACACTCCATTAATATACGACCAATCAGCTCGATGATTGTTTCATCAGATGATTTTTATCTGTTTAAACGCTAGGTAGGTTTTTATCAGGGATAAAAATGCGCGTAGGAATGCGTAAAACGTGTAGTGGTTGTAAAATTTACTGTCTTTTATTAATCTCCCTAAAATACACTCGACCTTGGTTTTAAATCAGGATAATTTTAGTTTTAATTCACTCAAATTTTGTTGCCTCCGCCCCTCCCCCCAGGCTCCGTCGCTCACTGATCACGAAAAAGAGTCGCACGGGAAAGTTATAGTTTGTACAAGTCTGATCGAAAAAGTACGAATTGTTTTGGATTTTTAATTTTGGTGCGCAAAATTAAAAATTTTCTTATAGAATGTGGCCTGTAGAATCCATAATTACAAACAGTTCCAAAATTGGGCTACTAGTTCAAAAGTTACAGCCCTTTGAATTTTCTTTCGAAATTGGTTTCTAGTCCATAACTTTGGATTGAGAAGTCCCATCGAAAAAGTACGAATTGATTTGGATTCTACGCACCAAAATTAATAAGAAAAAGTGTTTTCCCGAGAAATCTTGGTGCAGTCGATTTTTGGTAAAAAAGGAAGGTTATAACCTGCCTTTTTTGAAGCCCCGAAAGGAAAATTGTCTCAGATCGACCCGGAAAAAAATTTTCTTATAGAATGTGGCCTGTAGAATCCATAATTACAAACAGTTCCAAAATTGGGCTACTAGTTCAAAAGTTACAGCCCTTTGAATTTTCTTTCGAAATTGGTTTCTAGTCCATAACTTTGGATTGAGAAGTCCCATCGAAAAAGTACGAATTGATTTGGATTCTACGCACCAAAATTAATAAGAAAAAGTGTTTTCCCGAGAAATCTTGGTGCAGTCGATTTTTGGTAAAAAAGGAAGGTTATAACCTGCCTTTCTTTGAGCCACGAAAAGAAAATAGTCTCAGATCGACCCGGAAAAAAAATTTTCTTATAGAATGTGTAAAACGGAAGCTCATGAACTCTTTACTTTATGTTAATTACACTTTTTCGGTCACCAAGTCGGATGGCGGTTATCTCATTCTTGTTCTATCCTTGCTTTTACTTTTTGTGGGAAACTGAAACGGCCTATAAACAATTAACCGTACCAAAGAATATTAATAGTCCCTCATCTTCGGCAGAATGACAACCCTCGGTGGTTACAAAAATAATTCCAAAATTCCAACAGGAGCGGTCGTAGGCGGACTAATTAATTTTGGGCTCTTTTAGTCTCCATGGCATTGCGGAGTGTTCTCAAAGTTACGGTTTTCTATGTAACGAAGCCCAAACCAATCGTTACTATACAGAGTGGTCCTCATAAACAGCAAACTCCACTCAGAAATTCCGGGTGCTTCGTTACAAAATGATGGAATAGACAGTTAACGTCGCGTAAGAATGGTTTACGTACGAAGATAAAAAACACTAAAGTGCACATTCTTACGCAGTGAAAGCTTTCTCCTACTTGGGACAGTCTAACCGAGTATTTCCAATTCTTTTGGCCCCTGTTTTGCCCGTATTTTTAAAATACAAGGATACGCCAGAAAAGACAACATTCCGAGAAAATGTGCGTCATTTAAAAATTGACAGAAGTTTCGTGTTACCCTCGGCAAGATTCCAATTGGATGTGCACAATTCGTCTTTTCTACTTCATTGTCACCGAGGGTGGATTGTATGCAACTTAATTTTGTGACTGCCTTGACTCCGCCAAAGAGCCGTCGTATGTGAAGTGCGCTTTATTCCTATTATGATTATTAATCTTTAAGAAAAAAAAAATCATAGTAATTCTAAATGTCATTGAGGTTTAAAATTCTTAAAGAGCTCAACCTGTAAGTAATTGGCGTAGTCTTGTCTTGCATGTATTTTTTTTTACAAAAATGGATTTCTTTAAAAGCAATTGAGTGTTGCAAAGAAGTTACATTGCAGGAAACTGAAAAGAGGAGAAATCTTCAAATAAATCAATCATAGCAATACAGGCAGTCGTTGGTTAAGTAACAATTTTGACTAAAGAATTTGCGAGTTTACTTAGAAACTCAAAATTTTGAAAAAAGGAAAGAAGTTCAACCCGCTTTATTAAAAAAAGCCTGTTGCACGCAACTGCATGGTCTTATCCATCAGGCACTTTTGAAAAATTTCGTGATACTGAGGAAGAAAAAGTCAAGGAATTTTTCTTTGTATATAGTCAATTTTTGTCAATTGAACTAACGGCAGCTGAAATTTGCAAGGAGGAATGGTATTTGGGGTTCCTCCAATTGATTTTTCCCACATTTGCGTATTACAAAACAAATGACAACACTTCTAACATGAGTCGTTCATTCCAAAATTCATTAAATGTAATTAACAGAAATTGTAAGCGACGAACGTAGGTGTTCCCTAAGGAAGGGCGTGAAGAATTCCCAAACTGATAACGTGTCTACAAACATTTTGAACGAATGTTAACTGTTATCGACCTATTTGTTACGGAACGGAAGGGCAATTAGAGTCTCGCCCCCGTTCACGTCCCATTTACGTTTACGAAGTTAAGGGAGAATGACGGGCACCGTCGTCGAAGACGCCAAGTCGGGGAGGAAGTATCCGGGCTTTCGGAAGAATTTCGTCGCGTATTTCGCCCAGTACAGCGATAACACGAGCATTCACGGCGTGCGCTATCTGGGGCAGTACGCGAGGAGCATCGTCGAGAGGTAAGTTACGAGCAATCCGGGTAGATACTCCTGATGTGTTTCAGGTTGTCGTGGTTTGTGGTCATTGGGACGTCCCTGTACTTGTGCATCACGCTGATTTTGGCGACGTACGACAAATGGGTGGCATCGCCTGTCATTGTCAGCTTCGCGAGGAGTCCCACTCCAATTTGGCAGATCCCGTTTCCGGCGGTGACCGTTTGTCCCGAAACGAAGACGCTGCAGAGAGTCTACAACTATACGCACGAGTACCATCGATTCCACGAAAATCCCGAGAACATGACGGAGGAGGAGTAAGAGTGCCACGCTTAATCACTGGTTCTGTAGGCGAATTTTGCAGAAGAGACAGGTTTGACAAGATCAGCCTGGTTTGCAACAGCCACCTCCATACGGTGGGCGACAAGTTCGTCAATGATAGTCTATTCGAGGTGTTTAGGGAGTTGGCCCCTCCATTTGAGGACGTCTTGTGGCAGTGCAAGTGGTTGAATCTGAACGAAACCTGCGCATCTCTTTTAACCGAAGTGTTAACAGAGGAGGGCGTGTGCTTCACTTTCAATATGGTCGGAAATGAGGCTCTCTACACAAAAAACGCGTGAGTATTGACGTGACAGCACCTTTTGACATCTTTAAACAAGACTTTCAGTTACCAAAGCGCCACCCCCTCGCAGTTTGGCATACGGTCCCTGGAATGGTCACTGGAAACGGGATATTCTGATAAATTGGGAAAAGATACGTATCCGAAGAGGTCGATTGCAGCAGGACAGAAAGCTTGCTTTTCGCTCTTGATGACACTGTATGAGCCGGACATGGATTATCTTTGCAAAGGAGCGGTGCAGGGATTCAAGGTGGTACCCCTTCCATTAGTCCGCGAGTCTACCACGTAATTTCAGATACTCCTCCACAACCCGGCCGAAACGCCAAGAGTAACTCAGCACTACTTCCGTGCACCATTAAATCAAGAGGTGGTCGTGGTGATTAAACCAGACATAATGTCGACTTCGGAAGGTCTACGAGGTTACACCCCCAACAGTCGCAAGTGCTTCTTCCAAAATGAGCGCCAACTCACCTTCTTCCAAATGTACACCCAAAAGAATTGCCAAGTCGAGTGCCTAACCAATATAACGTTACAATACTGTGGATGCGTAGCATTCCACATGCCACGTAAGCCTTCTCCTGATAACTAAACGTGGCTACCTCTTTACGCCTTTGTAGGAAACGAGACTACCAAGATGTGCGGCCCTGGAAGTAACCTCTGCCTGAAACAAGCCGAAGGTTTGTAGTTTTCGCCGAAAAAAAAAGTTACTCGATCATTTCAGCGGAAATGAACGCGAGGGAAGTTGACCTGGAGCGCACCCACACCGACATCAACGAACGCTGCAACTGCCTACCGTCGTGCACGTCCTTAACGTACAACGCCGAACTCTCGCAGGCAGATTTCAACTGGCCGAAAGTATTCGAGGGTTTCCACGTTAACTTTAGCGAGTTTCCCGGGTAGGTCTCCCCATTGCGCAGGTTCCCAAAACGCTCATCGCCACGTTCGCAGGGTCGCGATGTCGAGGGTCATGTTTTTCTTCAAGGAGCAACAGTTTATAACGTCGGAACGCAACGAACTGTACGGCATAACGGATTTCCTGTCGAGTTGCGGAGGTCTGCTAGGTCTATTCATCGGATTTTCGGCGCTGTCCATTTTGGAGATAGTCTACTTCCTTTCGTTGAGATTGCTGGGTAATTTGAAGAATTACGGGCGCCAGTTTTGGTCTGGATCGGCGGAGCTGATTAATGATGAATCTTACAAAAACGAGTAGCATGTTTGCGTTTAATTTATGTAATTATGTGCTTGTCATTTTATAGCGTAAATTCGTGTGCATATTTCGTATAGCAGTAAATCCTTCTTTAACTTACAAAAGTTACGAGCTTTCCTTGAAAAGGCTCCCTCCAAGAAAATTTGAAAACTGGATCGCCTTTGTGGTGATATAGTTCAATTTTCATGATAATGAAGCGTGCATTTACCTCAACCGCGTTCAAAACGTGCGGCAAATTCTCGAAGAAGTAAATCGAGTTGTTGTTTATGCACAATAATCAAAATTCAAATTCCAACTACCCTGTACACGCTGACTTTTTCGCTTATTGTTTGAAATGTTCTGCGAGAAAAGTTCCACTTTAAATACGCTTCTGATTGTTAAGCTACGACCGCGTTTTGTTTACAGAGGGGCATTTTGAATGAAAGGTGAGTTTACAGTGAATTTGTCGCATCTTAATAATGAGTTCTGACCAACAATTGGCCCCCATTTAATTAGCTACTTCCCTTGTTAAAAATTCTAACCCTTCCGCTTCATTGCAATACACTTATACGAGGACGAATTTACCTGCTGGTGTTTTTTTTGGGTACGAATATTTTGTAGGCGGATTTTTGGGAGCGAATTTAGAGGGGTCAGTTTTCTGTGTCGAATCTTCCTACAATCATTATATCTAAAATTGCAAACTCACTTTAAACTCATCTGGGACCAATTGCCGGCGATTTGTGAAATATGAAATTTAAGGTTATGTTCCTTTATAAGTCGTCTAGTATAAAAACAGTCGCAGGTAGCCGGCCACTACAAAACTTATATCCTATAACCTAGACACTTTGGAAAACGTGGACTATGAGATTGCCTTTGAGAACCTGCCTGTGATCATAAACATTAATTTACAAACTGGACTTATGAAATGGTTCTTAAAGAGAAAGTAAACACCAAATAGTTTTGTAAGCGTCCGCCGCAAAATATTGGCGGATGGAAAATTCCCAATAAATGAAACAGATTAACTAAAATCCTTTGTTTGGGTTAGATTCTTATTCATAAATGTACTACAAATCTGTTCATGCAAATGGTTCTCATAAGTCGGTTCCTTTAGGAATATTAAATTTACTTCAAACAAAATTCAAATTCAAATTCCTAAAAATGATCGACCGCTACTTTATACAAATAAAAAAATTAAAGCTTACAATTATTGATCTCGAATTGATATTGAATTGGTCTTATCTTCCCTGAGAAATACGGCTTCTTTTAGAAATGTGGAAACAGAACGGTTCAATGGTACAGTTTACTTTCTGCACCGCCACGGTAACGTTAATGTTTTGTTGGATGGAACAATTTAGCGGAAAATATGCCCGTACCACTTTCGGATACAAGCCAACCGGTTATTAATTTTATCCAATTTATTAACTAAGTTTTGTTGCGAGTAAATGAACCGATTAATTGCGAATAAGCACAGAATTGGTTTGTAGCACTTGAATTTGTATTTCTGCAGTATTGTCTATCCTTTTAGAGTGTTTGTAATTGCGCATTGTTTATTTGGCACATCTGGTCATTTGCGATAAGATAAGAACTGTTGATATCAAATGAATTTCAACGAAATCTACATCTGGCGCAGATATAATGCACGTGTGCGCGACACGAAAGAGAGAAGATAGCACTTCAAGCGTTTTTTTTCGCAGTTTTTTCCAGTCTAATTGTAATTGGTACATACAAGCATACAATATAAGAGAATAGAGTTTATTCGAGAATAGAAGTGACTGGAAGCTGCTAGCTAGCTGATTTGTGACGGTTGAAAAAGCGTGTACGTCTTTTTCATAATAATTTTGTGCAGAAGAAAGTGAAACTGAAGTTATTTAAAAGTAAAAGATTTTCTTATTTATAACTATCGACCGTCTGCTAACGGAGTATCATCTAAAAATAAGCTTTGTAAGCCTCTCTTTGTATCAGTAATTTTTGTGTGTTTGTTCTAATCCTTTATACAACCCGCATAGGGTCATTAGGTATGTCAGATCTTTCTCTTCGTATCCAAGACTTATTTCAGGTGTTGATAAAAATTTGCTTAATAAATTACTTGGTTCCGTTAACTCCCCTCCTCCTCCCCCCAAGAGATTTAATAGTTGTATTATTATAAAATAATGCGCTCACATGCGTCACCGATATTAACTCTAGCGCCATTATCGTTTAGAAATCCGAAAATACATTTGGGAAAGTCCAAATATACCTTCCCCCCCCCCCCTCCCAGTACGTATTTTGTCGGTGGTGGGCAACTTAACGTGACTGCGCATAGATACCAGCGACAAAACACATAATGAAGAGGGAGGGGGGTTGCTATGTACACTTAACCCCTCAAATGCATTTTCAGATGTCTAAAAACAACGATATTGGTGCAAAAGTTATTATCGATGTGCGCATGTGGCGCAATTGAGCGCATAACCAGATGTATCGAGTGGCACGGATACCGGTATCAAAATGAGTTATGGGGGTACATTCACTCCGCCCCCCATATATTTAAGGATAACGAAAAACAAGAATGGCGCAAAGATGTCTTTTTACGGCGCATTTTAGCGCATACCTAGGCGTACAATTTTGCATGGAAAAATGATAGAAAAAGGTAACTTTAAAAACGTTAAGTTGCCCCCCCCCCCCATTTTTTGAAAATTTGTCATGGCTTAACCGTGATGGCGCTAGCTTTAATTAAAGTGGTGCAATTGAGCGCATAACCAAATGTATCAAGTGGTATAGGTACCAGCGACAAAATACGTAGGGGGGTTCCAAATGTATTTTGCAATTTCTAAAAAACGATAATGGCGCAAGAGTTATTATCGATGGCGCAAATAGCGTGCGGAAAAGTGATAGAAACAGAAAACATCTTCCATGTTGAAAAAATTGAAGAAGAACCAGAAGATTTAGGAACCATACATGGGATAGTGAAGCAAAGCTTTGGAATAGAAGCGTTTGGGATAACAATATCAGAGTTGAGGGGCAATCCACTCGCTGCAATCATTCTTTCACAGGACAGCCTTATCACCGCACCTCAAATCCTCACCCATTGTTTATTTATTAATTTATTTATTTATTTATTTAATTAATTCATTTATTTATAAAGTTTTAATAATTCGAAACATAACTGGAAGATTTTAAAATACACTCGAATTGATATACCTGAATCCGAGGTGGCACTTGGTGCCCTTGTGCCCACTAAATCAACCTCGTCGGTAAATTCTTAAAAAATTAGTGAAATTGCCTATGAATCCCTAATTAGCATCCCTTACGAATCATAATAGAATTTCTAGAAATGTTCCAGATGTTACCTTGTTTAGAAATCTCTAAAGAAATTGGAAAAAAATCTGACAAATTTCACAAAATTAGATGATGCCACAAAAATAGCATAATATTATTATATACTGCCATAGGATCTACGAATTCTAGATGTCATTTGCAACAGTTTGTTTCAAAATTACTAAGGGAGTCTCTGGTACTCTGGTGGTCCAGATTCAAGAAAAGAATTATATGTATACCAAGCCAACCAAGTACAAGTAAAAATCGACAACCTTACTTAATTCCATACTAAAGGTGACAATATATGCTGGTTGGCTTAGAACGGCCCTGTTTTGCATCTGCTGCTAGGTTGAAAGTAAGAAAATTGAATTTTTTTTAGAAAAAAGGGGGGGTTACTTTCAATTTTCCACTTACCCCTTGAAAACTGATTTTGAACGGGGCGATTTGTAAGAACTTGAATATCGAATAATCTGAGAAATCTTAAAGATCTGGTGGATCTGGGAAGAACCCAAAGAACCTGGAAAAACTGAACAATCGGAAAAATGGAATTAAAAAGGGTTAAAGACTCCAAATCCGGAACTGGACAAGGATCCGAAGAAATGGAAAATTGTGAAGTACAGAATTATTCTGAAAAACCGAAAAAAAATCCAAAACGTCGGAAGAGGTGAAAGAATCAAGAGAACCAAACCCAGAAGGACGTAAAGGTTCAATTTGAACAATTATGAACAATCCCAAGGCTTTGGAAGATGTGGTGAATGTGAGAGATTGAATCGTAATAATGGGGGAACTGCAAGAAATGGATACAGGAAAGATCTAAAGGTGTAAAAAGATGCTAAAATCTTAAAATAGATAGGACGGTTTGATTCGTCGATCTATAATAATATATTTTACCCAAAATCGTCCTGAAACCTTCATTTTCATGCCTGCTTTCTGTCAGGAAATTTTAGTTTCCGTGACAGAGGCAAAGCAGACTACGTTTCCTGCCGCTTGTCACTTTACTGGCCGCATTTGTGATATTTCCAAATGTCTATAATGACTTCTGTCATCACTGACAGATTGACATTAATCAAAAGTTATATATAAAAATTGAAATTTTATATTAAAATACGAATTCGGGTAAAATTTAATACAAAACTCGTCAGTAAAATGACATTACCTGACCCGGAAATTAAAGCACTCGACCCCAAAGGGGCCTCGCCCTTCAATATTTCCTCACTAGTAATGTATCATTTTCTTGACTTTTATGTAAACAACTATTGAAGTTTGAAAAACGGAAAAGTTGCGAAAAAACAACAAAAAATTAACAACGAAAGGATCTTTAAGATCTAATGATAATAATTAGTGAACCATTTATTAATTAAACTTTTAGTATTATTAGTCGCACTTAGTATTAGTAATTATTCAAGAGGGCCGATAGATAATTTTTTCTTTTTCTTTTTGTTTGTTTGATTGTTTTTTGTTATTGGTTTCGGTAGTTTAAGTACTATTTTCAATATTACTAGACATTTTTTTTTTTATTTTTAACTCTATTGTACTCTGGCAAGTTGCAAAATGTTGTTTTTGCTCTGAAATTGGAAAGGTTATGTCTTTCTGTTGAGCAAATAAAGGATTATTATTATTATTATTATTATTATTATTATCTAGTCTAGTCAAGAACCTTTGAAATCTTTCAAGGTTCTTCAACCTTCGTCACCTTATAATTACAGCCTCCAAAGATGTTCCAGTGTTTATTGAGTTTTGCGAAATCACGTGTTGCGTGAGTCTTCTAAAGCCTCTGGTTCCTTTGCGAACCCATAGCTTGAGGGCAAGATCTTAAAATCCAAAAGTCTCTAATCAGACATCCTAATATCGAATATTTGTCCTGCGTATTCGAATTTACCTTTATCTTTATGCAAGAAAGAAATAACAAGAATTGCGTTATTTTGGAGCTTGTTTTGTGTAAAGGCACGGAGGGGGGGTCCAAATGAATCATTTGGTTAACCATGTTTTTCTTTGTGTCTTTTTAGTTTATTACATACCAGATGATTAGGTACACATTATTTGGTAAAGTAATGACAGTGTACAACATGCATTAGGTAAATACCAGGGTATCGAGGGTTTAGCCATTTTAACTAATTTATTATACATATATAATAATAATAATAATAATAATAATAATAATATTTTAATGCTATCGTGCAAAGCACTTACATGCGTCAAAAAACATATAGAACAATATACATAAGAAAACAAACGTATCAACAATTACATGACTAACTAAATACAGTTAACATTTCTAACGGACTGAACAAATTCTTCAAAAGAATAGAATACATTACGGGAAAATAGTTTTTTAAAGACACCTTAAGTTCCTTAACACTAAGATTTCTAACATTTAAAGGGAGACAGTTGTAAAGAGACTGGCCCTGAAACAAAGTTCCATTTTGCGTAACTGACAATCTGCAGAATTTTGTATTCAGATTTAGTTTGTGTCTTGTGTTATAGTCATGTTTATCTGATTGCTGATTAAACATAGATATATTATTCTTAATATACAAAACTGCTTCCAATATAAATAATGAAGGAAACGTCAATATTCCAAGGTTTTTGAAAGCCTTGTGACAATCATCACGATAACCAAGCCCGGCGATGATTCGAACAGCTTTTCGTTGTAATTTAAACACCTTATGCCAAGAGCAGCAATGTCCCCAGGTCAATATTGCATAGCACAAGGTACTTTGTACTAAAGCAAAATATGCTGCTTTAACAATATTACTAGAGACGTTGCTAACAAGTCGACGTAAGAGAAATATTGATTTACATAGTTTCTTAGCAACCAACTCACACTGAGGACCGAAACTTAAACGTGAATCAATAACACATCCTAAGAATTTAACATGCGGTACAGTAACGTAAGTACCTGAGTCCGATTTTTTTAAAGTAAAATTCATGAGGGCTGTTTTTGTAGTGTTCACTGACAATTTGTTTGCTAGGCACCAATCCTTAACTAAATTTAAACTATCATTAGATTTAGCAAAAGCTAACCTAGCATCACTCTCGCTGGAAATAAGCGTCGCGTCATCAGCATATAAGATGCAGGTTACATTAGATGGAAGACACAGAGGTAAATCGTTAACATATATAAGAAACAGCAAGGGACCAAGAATGGACCCCTGCGGTACTCCTCTTCTTAACGGTAAAACATCCGAACGTTGATTGTTAAAAGATACACACTGAAAACGATTACTTAAATAAGGCATTAACAAGTTGGCGCTATTATAACTAAAATTATAAATGCATCTGAGTTTACTAATTAAAATATCATACGCGACACAATCGAAAGCTTTTGAAAGATCTATAAATGTTGCTACAGTGTTCAAACGTCTTTCAAAGCCTTCCAGTATAACTCCCGTAAAGTCTATAATTGCTTTAGCCGTACCCCGTCCTTTCCGGAAGCCGTACTGCTTATCGTAGAACAAATCATTTTTTTCGAAATAATCTAAGCTGATCGTATAGAATTATTTCAATGACTTTTGAGAAAACCGGAAGGATAGACACGGGCCTAAATTCGGTAATATCACTCGCACCAGGTCTTTTTGGAATTGGAATAACCAATGAAGTTTTTAATTCTTCGGGAAAAACCCCCGACGAAATAATAGAATTAATAACAAAAGTAAGAGGCGGTACCAGTAAACTCATGTTACTTTTTATAAATTTTGCGTTTAGTTCGTAAATGTCTCTACATGTTCCCGTTTTTAGTTTTCTCAAAGAATGCCTAACTGTAATTTGAGAAACCTGCACAAACTCAAAATGCAAGGCTTGATCTATTTGAGTACAATAGTGAAGTGGATCTATGTCTATGTTATATATATAATTAATAACTAATTATTGCACTTTTATAATTATGCTGACACATTCATAATTATATAATTAAAAATAGTATAATTGCTTTTATTCTTATGGAGGCATGCAGAATAAAATCCTATAAATTCATTTGTAGCTGCGTTGCCTGGTTGCTGCAATTTGGACATCGACCAATTGTGTATTCACAATTGAACTTCCTGCAGGATTTCATTACCTTTGCAGGTTCGATATGGCAACGTTAATTACTGTTTTTACAGGGTGTTTCGTCTGTGGGCGAGTTGCGGTAGGTCAAGATTGTTGAATAACTGCAACTGGTATTGAATTAATTAATCGGTACTGATATTTTGCCACGACACCTTTCGTCGTATTGTTGTAATGTTAACTAATGCCCCTTGCATTATTTATTTGATCCGAAAATTCATATTTAGTAGGCTAACTTGCATCGATTATACCTATTTGACATGGTCCAATATTGAAACTACGTGAATTTATTATAATATTTAATGTTTGTTGTGTCAAATATTAACTCTTTAGGAATTCCAGAGGAGTGTAATTAGAGATAAGCATCTACACCGTTTTTTTTATACATTGCCTATCCTCATTTGGCGCCCAAGATCTGCTGGTCGCCTTTAGGTGAGTTGCTAGTATTCTTAGAATCTTCATGAAGCTTTTTCTTGTGTAGTAAAATATATGTCCTCAAACTCCTAGGTTAAGGAGTGTTCTTGTTTGCATGAGTAGCTCTCCTCAAAACCTACCCATACCTACACCTAGAACGAAAGTGCCGAAGGCTAATTAGCTTTCCGTGAAGTGTCACACGATCATTTATTCATAATTGAGATGGAGCTAACGTAAACGTTGTGGTATGTACATGAAATAGGCGTGTTAGAAATACTAATTAAGTATTTTAATAACGCAATGGAATGAGTACATACTACACCGATCTTGGAGCACTATGCTATAATGAAAAACGTTTTTATGTCCCTTTTCGTTTCAAACAAAGGGTAGTTTACCTACCCGACCACTGATATTAAATATCCTTCGTTAATTTTTCGTTTAAGAAAATTAATTATCGATCGTCCGGTTTTCGGTACAAAAAGCGCATTACTCACGATGGCTTCGATTAAAACGGTCGCGGAGGAGGCGGACGAGTATGAGCCTCCGAAGTGTCTCAAGAATCTGCGTTGGTACTTTATGGAGTACTGCAACAACACCAGCATTCACGGATTTAAATATTTGGGGGAGCGACGGAGCTCAGTTGAAAAGTGTGACTAAGTAAGTTGCATTGTGTGCTTAAGATTCTGTTGTAGGCTGTGGTGGGTGATCGTCTTGTCCTGCTCCTTGTATTTCTGCGTGGATTTTATGACCGAAGCCTACCACAAGTGGCAGCGGTCGCCTGTCATTGTTTCGTTTGCGACTAGCGAAACGCCAATTTGGAACGTGCCCTTTCCAGCGATCACAATTTGCCCGCGCACCAAGGCGATCAAATCCAAGTACAACTTCACCAAAGTTGCCCTTTTAATAAATGAGAACAAGGAGAACTACTCGATGTGGAACGAGTACAACTACATGTCCATGGTGTGCCCAAGCCAACTGGACCTGTTCGTTGATAACGAAACTGCCCAATACATCAATCGCGAAATCATAAACTTTCTCATTGAGGTAAAAGCACTCGATCCGCTACCGTGTCACCATAAGAAATTTTAGGTGCATCCCACAGTTAACTACTCAGTCGTCAACTGTAGCTGGATGGGGCGGAATTGCGATGACAAGTTGATGCAGTACTTCGTACCGACCGTGACCAGTGAGGGTGTCTGTTTCTCGTTCAATATGCTGGACAAGGACGAGATTTTTACGTCGCACATGACGTGCGTATTGTACGAAAGCGTAAAAGGTCATAGGGTTCTTTTTTCCCAGTACGCCTAAGGCTTTCTGGCGCACCTACCCCTCATTGAGCTAATTGGCTCATATATTTTCCGTTCAAAACCATTTTTTATAGGGGTGGCTTGACAATGAATAGGTAACTTTAAGTTGATTTCAACAATTGCCTGTTGTAGTAGGATATTTCATTGGACTAATTTTCGTAGATTCCGGAATTTAAATGGAGGTTTTGTTAATATTGATTTATACCTCGTTCGTATCCGCGTTTTAATCTCAATTTAGCGGCGTGGTTTATTAATTGTACTGGAACAACTTTCCCACGCGTAATCCCGTACGCCCTTTACCCTAAATTTGTTAGTTTATTAACTAGTGAAAAGATTAGTATTAACTAAATAACGGTTGAAATCGCGCTTGACCCTTAGCACTTAACGCCAAGCAAAAATTGACTATATTTTAAACCGCGGCTGTACCTTTAATGAGCACTATGACGGCTCAACACCAGTTTTTTTTAAATTCCGCTCTCGTAGAAACTGGCACTGAAAGTTTAATGTCTTCGAACTTATTAATCCCCCCTATACTCCTGCAAACTTGCGCTTATCAACTAAGCTATACTCTTGAGCATGAGCACGGAAAACCGGCGACTGAATTATTTTTAACATGCATCTTCGACTTACAGCTCAACTTTTTTGGAAAATTACTGACTTAAAAGGAAATTTAGAATAACCCATTTTGGAAAAACCATTCCTTTAACAAACCACCCTGTTTGTGCCCTCGCTTGGCACTATAACAGGGATAGTGTGAGGCTTTCATCCACCGCGCGAGCATTAGTTCGGGTTGGACTTTGTTGATGTCCGTTAACTTGGCCCCCCCACTGAGAGATTTCATAGTCGTATTATTTTGAAATGAATGCGCTTGTTATGCGCTCATATGCGCCACCGATAATAACTCTTGCGCCATTATCGTTTTTTAGAAATCCGAAAAAACATTGGGGGGGGGGGCAAGTGAACGTAGCCCCCCCCAGTACGTATTTTGTCCCTTGTAACTAGGTCACCTGATACATTTGGTTATGCGCTCAATTGCGCCACTTGAATTAAAGCTAGCGCCATTACGGTTAAGCCGTGACAAAAGCTCCCAAAAAAACACCCTGTAAGTTGTTTCTGAAACACTATAATGGCGCCAAGATTTTTGTTTACGGCGCATTTTAGCGCATGATGAAAGGTACGATGTAGTAGAAAAAACATGTTAAAAAACGTAACTTTTGAAAACGCTAAGTTAGACCCTCCACTTTTTAAAATTTTTTTATGGCTTAACCGTAATGGCGCTAGCTTTAATTCAAGTGGCGCAATTGAGCTCATAACCAGATGTATCAAGTGGCACAAATACCGGTAGCAAAATGCGTTATGGGGGATTCCGTTCACTTGGCCCCCCCCCCAAATATATTTAAGGATAACCAAAAAACAATAATGGCGCAAAGATATCTTTTTACGGCGCATTTCAGCGCATACCTGAGCGTACAATTTCGTATGAAAAGATGTTAAAAAAAAGTAACTTTTAAAAACGTTAAGTTGCCCCCCCCCCCACTTTTTGAAAATTTGTCACGGCTTAACCGTAATGGCGCTAGCTTTAATTCAAGTGGCGCAATTGAGCGCATAACCAAATGTATCAGGTGACCTAGTTACAAGGGACAAAATACGTACTGGGGGGGGGCTACGTTCACTTGGCCCCCCCAAATGTTTTTTCGGATTTCTAAAAAACGATAATGGCGCAAGAGTTATTATCGGTGGCGCATATGAGCGCATTCATTTCAAAATAATACGACTATGAGATCTCTCAGTGGGGGGGCCAAGTTAACGGACCCACTTTGTTGGATGGCCCGATGTTCGCACCCCTTTTATCATCTGTAGTATTCTCTTATATGTCGGTCTTATTTCCTCTCAATTCCTTTCCGATTTTGATTTTATTGAAGGGAATCATCTATGACGAGTGTGCTCGGGAGTGTCCCCTTTGCAATTGCAATACCAGCACCAGGGTTTTCGATCCTTTCCCATCCTGTCTACAAATGACAGTCTATTCTCTTGCCTTGATCTCGGGAATCAAATGCCATGTCCATCTACCTTTTCCTGTCCCCTGCCATCTGTTGCCAGATTTCTATTATTCTTGATATTTTTTTCGGATCCTTTCCTTCGTAGAGGCGGCGTCTCTCCTCAGCTATGAGAGCCAAAGGGATCCCGCCGGCCATCTGTCCCCATGATCTCGAATGTGGCCATTTTTAAGACTCCCTTCACTGCATCCAGAGTGGATCTCCTCCCCCTAAAACCGAGCTGATTTTCCTTTTTCCTCTAGGTGCTCCAAAATTCCTGCCCTTAACACGTGTTCATGCAATTTTCCTGCAGCGTCCCTCAGGCAGATAGACTGGTCTAACTTTTCGATCGTCTTTTGGCAGGAGGGCCAAGATCGCTTTCTTCCAGCTCTGTGAAAACTCACATTTGGATAGTTTACCATTAAACATTTCCAGCATTTTCCATTCATCGGCTTGGACTGCCCATTTAATCACTTCAACTGGAATACCATCCGGCCCAGGTGCCTTTTTCCCTTGTAATTTATTCACAGCTACCTTCATCAAACGGTTCCATGGGGGTTATCGGCATCTCGGGTAAAATTTCTTGTGCCAATATTTCCTTTACATTTGATTAACCGAGCATAGGCAATGGATCTGAGTTTTCTGTCATTTTCTACACTACTTGCACCATGTCTACACCTACCCGACCGACTCTCCATCTTTTAAGTGTGGAGCCGGGAGGAAAGCATATACCCACATCTTTTTTTATTGACTGTGCCCCTTTTAATTTCGGTCTACCGAGCGAACGCATAAATGACAGTACTCGGCACCTATTAACTACGTGAACACGGACTCATATTACGGGTTGCATTTGACAGTGGTTCACTGAACCAAGTTTGAGGCACTGACAGAATAATAATAATGTACTAGTATTTATTACAATAGGCCTAATTCAGTCTAAGTCTTTAAAGAACCCAGAAATAAGGCACTATTTGATCTTACTGGTGCCTTTAGTAAACAATTTTAAGACCAACTTAAAACCAGTGTAACTTGAAAAAATTTAACTATTCCATTACAAATAATCAACAGCCGAACGCATAGTTTCGCGCGGTATAATTGTCATAAATAATAAAGCACATATACAAATCTATCGCTGTCCCTTACCAACTCCCCTATCTGATGCATTTTTTCATATCAGAAAACGCGCAGATTTGCAATTAATATTGTATTTCTAATTCAATTAATTAATGCTAATTGAAAATAATTTACCTTGTAGTGAATTATTCCTATAGTAGATCGCACCAGGGTCCATTCTTTGGTTGTTCCACTATTATCTTCTTACATATATCAAAGACAAGTTTAGGGGTGGCAGAGACCAAAACAAACATTTTTTTCTAAATGAACTGAATGCTCAATATGCTTGGTTTAGGCGCTACACCTGCAAGAATCCCAAAGTTTACGTTTTCTTCTAAACTACATACCTACAATATCATATAATAGGTTGGAATTAGCAGCAATCCCTAAGTACAATACAAAATTCATGGGAGCAGACGAGCGTGGCGGCGGTCGACGGAATGGACTCGAGCGCCACCAAGGGTACAGCCTCGCCCCTGGTCAATGTCGGCGGTAGCAGAGGTTCGACAGATCGGACGGCAACTTCAGGAATCGGTCGAGTTTAGCAAATGGCGGCAGATAATTGGGAAAAACTGCTAAAATTACGGCAAAGCAAAGCAACAAAACAGAAATCGGCGGAATCCACGGTGCAGGAAAACGGAACAATATTCCTCCCTTATAACTTAAGGCACCCAGCTACGAATATAAGTAAAACTTTTCTAAAATATTGCTTTTCTACCATCTATTGATATTCCCGCACTAGTGCGGGAATTGATCACTTTGCGCAGGCGACTTGATTAATTCTTAAACGATTGTAGGAAAAACGTTGTTCCTAACATGCGCGTGAAGATGATTCCGAACCTCAAGCAATCTGCATCCTGCTTTCGTTTCGGAATCATCATCTTTACGCACTTGTTCGGAAAATAATTATTTGCGCATGCGCAATGCCAACTTTATTATTTACAAACGCATTTAGATATAAAATATAAATTTAAAAAGAATTTTTCAAGAATGGAGCAAAGATCTCGCGCCTGCCCTAGCATTAATATTACTACGAGAAAGATGCGCTTTCGTCATTTAAGTTTTCATGACCTTTTAACTTGTACTTATTTCTCTTTCAACAGTACTTCCTTTGTTTGTGTATGTGCGGTGGAATGTAGGTACATATTTAGTCCTGTATAAGTTTTGTGCTCCTGTATGGAGTCGTAGGGCGAACTATTTACTCTATGGTAAACTGAAAAAGGATCACCAAAAATCAAAATTTTAATTTGCAGCATTACCCATTGTCTACACTTTGTCCGCCGGTCTGTCCGAATTCTCTCAGTCTATGCTTTTTCGTTGTGGTAGCCGACTGTGCAGCTCAGTGGTAAAACGTTGGGCTACATAGCCGGAGGTCGGGGGTTCGAACCTGGGTTGAGGTAAATTTTTATCTGTGGCAGAGATGGGAATTTCCTCAGATCAGTTTCGAGCATTCGGCCGGCTACTCCGAATTAGGTTTTCCTGCAGATTTCCTCTCTGTGAATGTGCGAAAGCCTGTTGAGGGTCCAGAACAAGAGAGGGACAATAAATAAATAAATTACAACCAAATTACGTACCATACTTCTTGTGCGACCTCCATGAATTTCGAAAAAAATCCAAAACGAGGTCTGTTGACCGTTTTGAAATTTGTAGATAATTATCACTTCCAAACGTACATGATCTATTCTAATTTTTTTCATTACGCACGGGTGTAGGTAATGGGTCATGCCTCTAAATTATATGTTATTTTTTTTTTCATTTACCATCTCTCTCTTGTTCTGGGCTCTCAACAGGCTTGCGCCCAATTACAGAGTGACTCGCATAATGCTTTTTAGAGGTGCCGGATTTATAGCCCAACGCTCTACCATTGAACCACAAAGTCGGTTGAACTCATATTTCTGGGAGGTCGTTTTTTCCAAGTCAACCCTTATAAAAAATCGTTGCGCTAAGTACGTGATTCACCTTGAAATGTATAAAAATTGTACCTGTGGCCCTTCCACGCTTTAGCACTTACGATTTTGAGCGATTTCAAACTGAAACGCCCATTGCAGCGAAGACTACTCCGATCGAAAGTTCTCCGAGCGCCAGCCCAACTCAGAGTGGACCTTAGAAGAAGGTTATCTAGATGACGCAACTTTGAAAGCGTTCCCTCGCCGAACTTTGATTGTGGGCCCAAACGGAGGACTGGATTTAACCTTTATGACTCTGCAGTCCGACCTGGATTACCTTTGCGGCGACGCCCTGCAAGGATACGATGTAGCTCAACCTCTTTTTTTCTTGTGAACACGACTAATTGGTTTTTTAGGTGATTTTGCATCACCCAGCCCAGATGCCGGTTGCCAAAGCGGGCTACTTTCGTGTCGGATTGAACCAGGACGTGGTGGCGGCGGTCAAACCCAACATGATGCGAACCTCTGACGAACTACAGCGCTACAGTGCGTACGATCGGAACTGCTACTTTGTGGAGGACAGAAAGCTACGCTTCTTCAAAGTTTACAATCAACAGGACTGCTTGATTGAGTGCTTGGCAAACTTTACTCTCGCCACCTGTGGTTGCGTCGAGTTCTACATGCCGCGTATGTACCCGAAGTGCACCAAGTCACTTACGAATTAATTTCCAGGTGACAATCTCACTTCAATCTGTGGAGCCAAGCAAAGGATTTGCGTCAAATACGCCGGAAGTAGGTAGTCTACTGGTCGCACATTGCTCGCTAACTGCTGTGTTTGTAGCAAAATTTCTGGAGAGCGAGGTATCTTTCCAAATTGAAAACGGTGAGGAGAATGAAGAAAACCTGACGAAGCACACTGCGCCCAATTGCAACTGTCTCCAATCGTGCAATTCGCTAAGCTACGACGCTTCAATTTCCCAGTCCGACTGGGACTGGAAGAAGGGGAAGAGGATCGTTTCGTCAAAAAACGAGACCGACGGGTTCGTAGCATTCCTCCTTTGCCAACTTACACTTGACCTTTCAGCTATAATCTATCGAGGCTCAGGATCTACTTCAAGGACATGCAATTTATCACGTCCCAACGCAACGAGCTCTACGGCAAGACGGACTTTTTCGCAAATTGCGGCGGACTTTTAGGCCTGTTCACCGGATTTTCGATCATTTCGCTGGCCGAGATCGTGTATTTCGCGACTTTGAGGTTTACGTGCAATTTCCGCAAGCACGGCAGGCACTATTGGTCCGGCGCCAAGGAGCTTATGAACGATCCCAAGCGCCACGACTAAAAAATTCGAGATCGGCGAAAACTACATTAAGTGCTCCCAGAGAATAGGGGTTTTCACGTTTCAAATCTAATAGCGCACTAATCAATGTTTAAAACTTTGGCAATAATAATAATAATAATAAACAAAAAGTACTACCTGATTCATCATATATCACCCAAATAGCCCGGACTTTCTTAGTTTCTCTGAAAATGTGCGCAATTGAGCCTAGCACCTACGCCTGGGTCCATGAAGTTAGCAGAACATCGGCGGCACAAATTTTGAGACTACTGTCGACGCAAAAAGTTTGTGCACTGGAGTTTGAAGCTTAATAAAAAAAATTTCCGTTGGGTCGATTTTAATGGGAGTTCGGTAAATAACGTAAATTTACAAGTTTAAATTATTACTTTCCATTTTTCCATTTATGGTCAGAATAAACACTTTCCATGATAGATTATGACTTACAAATGACAGTAAAAAAAATCCAGATAATTTTTCAAAGCATTTGTCTGTTATTTGCAAAATCCCATTACCTTCGGTCCCCTTAAGTATGGTTTCACCGGTTCTTTCCATATTTTGAAATTCATCCCTCTAATCCACCGGCAAAAAAAAACGTTCGGGTTGGATTCCACTTGCAAGCTATTAAATGACTATTTAAACTTGTTCTTTAATCAATTTCAATATCAATGTGGAAAAATGTTTTTTTTAAATAATTGATGGCTATTGTTTTTTGGCTACGTAGACCAACGGGCCAAAAAGTTACAGCCCAAAAACTACCCAAACCTCCAAAAAGGGTTTCTTTTATGACTCTTGTTACAAAGAACGTATGAATGTCCGGATTTCTGTGTTAGTAAATAATAATAATAATAAATAATATGGCTTTATGGCTCAGTGGTAGAGCGTTGGGCTATAAATCCGAAGGTCGGGTGTTCGAACCTGAGTTGAGGTGAATTTTTCATCTGCGGCAGAGATGGGAATATCAGTTTCGAGCATTCTGCCGGCAACTCCAAATTATAATCCGGAACAAAGATCACAAAACTTTCCCCATAGGAGGAAGGTTTTGTAATCTTTGTTCCGGATTATCATTTACCCCATTTTGAGCTTCCCTGAGAGAATGGATACTCAACAGGTTAACCCACATTCTTCTGCAGAGGCACCTCTACAAAAGCATTATGCGGGTCACTCTGTAATTGGGCGCAAGCCTGTTGAGGCCCCAGAACAAGAGAGGGATAACAAATAAATAAATAAATTCCTTAAATCTCAGGCAACTATGCAGATTAGAAAAAGTATATTGCGCATACGTATTCCAACTTTTGTATTTGTGCAATCCCAATTTTTTTATTTGTTAAGATATTTAAATGATATTTTGTATCTAGACACCTCAAATAAAAGTAAACAAATGCCGAATCAAAAAATTTGTTTTACGCATGCGCAGTCGGTTTTTTTATTTATGAAATTTTGTATGTAGGCACCTCGAATAAAAGTAAAACAAATGCCGCATGCGCAGTTGGTTTTTTATTGGTTAAGATATTTAAATGAAATTTTGTATCTAGGCACTTCGAATAACAGTAAAACTAATGCCAAAAAATTGTTTTGTCGGTTTTTTATTTGTTAAGATATTTTAATTAAATGTTGTATCTAGACACCTCAAATAAAAGTAAAACTAATGTCGAATCAAAAAATTTGTTTTGCGCATGCGCAGTCTGTTTTTTTATTTATGAAGTTTTGTATGTAGGCACCTCGAACAAAAGTAAAAAAAGTACCTCATGCGCAGTCGGTTTTTTTTATTTGTTAAGATATTTAAATAAAATTTTGAATCTAGGCACCTCAAATAAAAGTAAAACTAATGCAGATTCAAAAAAAGGCAAGCTATGCTGATCTGGTGGGATAGAAACAACTCCGTGATGCTACATGCGAATAATTTAAGTTTTGATCGCCCTTCTACAGGTTGTTTTAAAACTAATGGTCCAGTTCTAGGTCAAGTACGAACCCTAAAAAGTTGATTTTTTGAAATGAAACCTGTTTTATTTTTTTTGCACTTTCAAATGTGGAAAAAATTCTACATCGATCAACTATTGCCTTCCCTATACCATTGAATAAGTAATCATAGGTTACTTATTCAAGGCCTTCTGTAATGGTTTTATTTAATATTTTTTAACATTGCGACCGTTATATGGATAATTTTCTCAAGAGACCTTGAAATAAACGCGTTAGTTGATGTGATTGTACCATCATTGAAAAAATTACCTGGTTTCAACTTGATGGAGCACCGGCTCATTCTACCCATGATGCTTATATATATTTGCACATTTTTGAAGACAAGTGGATTAGAAATATAGGGTGTAAAGTACCATTAATAATGCGGCAAAAGCTAGTTATTTTGACAGTTTGGGAAACCGTGAAAACCTTTACCACTAAATTTTGGGAATTTTATTTCTACGCAACCAAACCTACAAAATTTTAAAACTTCCCGAATTATTTCGAGGTAAAAATCCTCAATGACTATGTTCTGCTGGCAAACTTTTTACGAAACCAATCCAGCTACTCTCGAAATGTGTGCCGCCAATTTTCTGCTAACTTCACGGACCCCCTGTCTATACTTTTCCCCAAAATCAGTCATGTAATAATTTATTAAAGCAAATAAAATCATATCTTTTTGCAAACAATTACAATTTGTAGCCAACGCTAGACACTCTTAAGAAGAGAATTTGGTCAGCGCGCTGTTGCATTTTCGTTTGGTGCAAACTTTCAGTTGGAGTAACCCAGACTCCCCGATTAAGACACGCAGTCTATCGTTGCTGCTGCTTCAACCCGATCTTTCGCATCCTTTCCCGCTCGACCATCTTCTGATTGCCGGACCAAACCCGTCTGCCGAACCTGAGCGTGTTGCAGGCAATCCGTAGCGTCAGGTAGTAGAGAACCTCCATGATGGACGTAAAGGAGAGCCCGCAGAAGAGACCGAGGAAACCGCCGCAGTTCGCCAAAAAATCGGAAAGGCCGTAAAGCTCGTTCCTCTCCGACGTCATGAACTGTAGGTTCTTGTAGTAGACGATCAGTCGCGAAAAGTGGTCCCTGAAAGTAGTAACTGTGGGAGTGATAGGTTTGTAAGGGTGTACCTTTCAAAGGTTATGTTGAAGCTTTCGTCGTGTTCCTTGTAATGGAAGGTTTTTCGCCAGTCCCATTGCGATTGTGAGACCTCCGCGTCGAATGAGATTGACGTGCACGATGGCAGACAAAAGCACTCCCTGGGGTCTTGAATTTTCTCCCCCATGCTTCTTCCCAAGATGAAATCCTCCAGGTCATTTTCCAAGAAGGAGACTAAATTTAGTGGTTAACAGTTATGCATGGGCACAATTTTACCTCGAGCTTCCTCCAAACATTTCCTACTTCCAGCTCCACACATATGCGTCACGTCCTCTTGAGCTGAAAAACGATCGCGTGATTTCAGGAAGTTCGTTTGCATTAATACAGATCATGTAGAATCCTGCGCAACCGCAGACGTGCAGAGTGTAGTTAGCGAGGCATTCCACCATGCAGTTTTGTTGCGTGTAGATTTTGTAGTTGCTCAGCTGCCTTTCACCAGGTAAATAGCACAGACGGTCGTAAATGCTATACGATCTAATTTCTTCCGATGTCTTAATCATGCTAGGTTTAATTGCGACAACTGCAGCTTCGTCCATGGGAATTCGGAAGTGAGTGTCCATATCTGGTATTTCGGCAGGATGGTGCAGAGTTACCTGAAGTGGACCGTTGGGATGAAAAAACCCATGGCGAAACCCACCTTGAAACCGCTAATTTCACTACACAAATAGTCCAAGTTGGAATCATCGACAAACAAATCCAGCTGCAGCCCAGCCTTGGCACCCGTCAGCATAGTTCTTCTAGGGTAGGTGTTCAAACCGACACCCGCCGGGTATCCTTCCTCCAAACTCCATTCCTGGGCTCTCCTGGTGTGGTTTTCCGACAGTTCTCTGACAAGTTTAAAAACGTGAGAAGATCGGGGAATAAAACCTCCAATATTTACCCGGCGTTTACGTATACTTCGTCAGGATGTAACATGTTGAAGGTCCTACACCAGCCTTCGCTGGTTAAAATGTTGGTGAAGCTTCGCTCGCAACTCAAACTGTCTCCAAGCCACGAACACTGCTCCATTTGCAAATCTGCAAAAGACTAATTGGTTTAAATTAGTATTATGAGGGGTTGATAAGCACTAATTGGACACAATAATAAATTATGTTTTGCAATCTCGGTAGCTTAAAGAAATTTTGCAAATTCCAACTGACTTTGAAAATGGGGGCGAGAAGGAGCCGTACAGGAGGTATAAAGGAAGTGTGAAGAAAGTATGGAAAAATCGTGTAGTTTGGAGAGCAGTGAGAGTGAGCACAAAAGAAAAAGGTAGCGTGAAAAACCTAGCAAGGAAGAGAAGGGAAGGGGGGGGAGGTTAAGTGTATGTGAAGAAATAAGGTGACACATTTTCGTGCAGCTGTGACAGAAAGAGACGAGGACTGAAAAAGAGAAGGGTTAAAGGAGGATCCATATACCTACCATGCGTAAAAAAAACAAGGTTAAGGAAAAAGGCGTGAAGTGAAGTGAATGAACAAATGGAGGAGGATGTGCGAAGAAAGAGGGAAGACGGTCTTCAATCGGTGCGAAGGAAAATGTCAAAGGAAGGATAAAGGAAATGGCCAAAGAAAAATCTAGAAAAAAGCGTAAACAAGTATAAACTGTGTCTCAATCGCCCTTTGTGAGTACCCTCTTCCGACAATGCGTTCTTGAGGTATAAGGGAATATACCCGAACACGATAAGAGGTCGAGGAGGATGGCTATTGTTGGTAGAAATTAGTTCCTTGAGACCTTTCATTAGAGTACCATGAAGGATAAAACTGGTTCCACTCCCCCCCCCCCCCCCACCTCTCCCTCCACTCCGTACTTTGATAAGAGGACAAAAAGAAGGGCAGTAGTTGGTAGAAAACGGTTCCTTTCGTTGAGACCTTTAATTAGAATACAATGAGAGATAAAATTAATTTTTACCCCCCCCCCCCCCCCATTTTCTAAAGCTTACCTTGGCACCACTAAAAGCATGCGTATGCAAAATCTGAAACCAACTGGTTGTCGTATGTAAAAGTTACGCACGTTTTACTTTCAAATTAAAAATTATTATTATTATTATTATTATTATTATTAAAAACAGCATCTCAGGAAATAATTCGTGGGGGAGAGGGAGGGGGGCTGTTAGACAGCGAAATTTGATGGCCGTCTGGCACACCTTCAAGGTATAGGCTACCTACTGCAAAAAATTCGAGGATTCTAGGACCTTTCCCCTAGAAATAGTTCGAAACGGCAGAAGTGGGTCCGGACGGACGGACGGACAAAACGGAAACAATAGCATATTTTTTTAATTCTTAAAAAATGCTAAAAATAGACATTGAAGGGATATGAAAAGTACGTAAGAGGTGGAAGGGGAAGCATGTAAACAGTTGGAAAAGACGTGTTTTTAGCGCAAGTTGTAGAGGTTACTCCATTCCAGATAATTGTTGAGGGGGCAATTATTTCCATCTGTAGGGTAGATTCCTCTCCCCCCCCACCCCTCTCCAGCAGTACTCTTAGCGAAGGAAGACCTGGTCATTTTTGTTTATTATCCTAGCAGTGCCACGGTAACCTTTTCGAAAAGGTGATCAAATGTTCGTAATGCTGGGGAGGGGAGGGAGGGGGGGGGGGTTTATTTTTCCCACAAGACTCCCGTACCGCACCGTATGAGTGCTAACCATTAGAGGTTTCTGCGGAAGGACCTGTAGTACACCCGAAGGAAGATTGATTTTTTAAACGTCACCTCTAGCACAGTCATAATAATCTTTTCGAAGAGGCAATCAAAGCTTCGTAATGCAAGGGAGGGGGGGATTCCATCTATTTATCTTAAAATTGTTACACAAAAATAGGAGCGGAAATGTATTATAGGCAGTAGATTTCTCCGGAAAGCGCCTCGAAGACCCTGATAAGATAAAAATTGCCCTTGGAAGCATTTTAGTCTTCTGAAAGTCTTTCAAGGCTGTCTTATGCCTTCTAGCACTATAAGGCTTAGAGTTTTATACACCTCTTTGAGAGTTGTCTACACTCAAAAAGGTTAAGACTACCATAGAAGGGTGCCAGAAAACTAAATCACCATCAGGTAGGCTTGAAAAAGCTGAAAAGTGTATAAAAGCTTTCTATTCTAGTAATTCCTGGAAAGCACCCAAAGATCTATGGACAGTGCTTTTAACGGCTCTAAAAATACTAAAACATTGTTTAGCTGTATGAAAAAGAACTTAAAAAAGAATTTAAAGGGAAATGTAATTTATGCATATCAAACTATACGTTTCGACATTTTCCCGACAAAATTTGTTTCATTAACAAACGTTTTGGGATCTTTGGTATAATCTTGGGCATTTGAATAATGTGTTTTAGGGGGTAAATGATCATGAATCAAAAACCAAAAAATATGTTTACTGTTTTTGCTTTCTTATTTTTAGAATAACTAAATTAGATATTATTTTTATTGAATTATCTATTCCAACAGAATGAAAATGTTTGCTTATAAAAACGGTCTTTGTAAATAAAATGACCACAAAATAACTTTGGTTGATAAAGATAACACACCGGCTTGTTGCAAAAGCAGAAGAAAAGTTGGTAGGTGCAAACTCCAAATCCAGTACCTAAAGCTTATTATAAAGAATATGAAGTTGTGTTTGGGGGTGAATAGGAGGAAGTCTTAAATGGATCGATAATGCCTGCATATAGAAGGAAATGTCAAAGGTATTTAAATCTTCTATCCTTTGCTGCATTCATTCAAAACTTCAAACAATGATGCGATTAAGAAATGGAACAGATTTGTCAGCATACTCTAAATTACACGCGTTCTTGAAAGCTTCCAACAAGGAATAAGTGGGTACGTCTTTTCCATTTACAGAAAGCAATCAAGGAGATTCCTTATTTCAGCCCCAGACCACAGTTTAACCGGAAGTCTATTTATAATAAATGTAATAATTTTGCGCAATTTGTAAAGTTCAAAGTACATCGCCGCCATACTTATGAACTTCAATCTCCCCCAGGCCAACCTCTGAAATAGCCCGGTTCACACCCCGAGCCAACTCCCGAAATACCCCAGGTGCCGAAATCCTGCACCCCGGACCAACTGCCCAAATATGTTCCCGCAACCCGGGTCAATTGCCAAAATTTGATCTTAGACTCTGGGCCAACTAACAAAATTTTACTCGGACCAACTGCCGAAATTTGCTGAAATATTTTCCCATGGCCCCCACTCCCCAGAATATTCTCACGCTAGAAAGCCATCAGGTAGGCTTGAAAAAGCTGGAAAGTGTATAAAAGCTTCGAAAGAAATCTAGGCAGTTTTGGAAAACTGATACAAATTCCTAGAAAAACGGTATACAATTCTAAAATCTCTCAATTCCCACAGAACACTTCTTGGAGTGCCTACCAGGGTACTTTTCGTGAATCTCCTCTACCTCATGTAATTCTAGTAATTCCTGGAGAGCACCGAAAGATCTATGGAAGGTGCTTTTAACAGCTCTGCAAATCCTAGAGCATTGTTTAGCTCTACGAAAAAGAACTTTAGGTGCGCTGTAAAAAGAATTTAAAGGGAAATATAATTTATGCATATACGTTTCGACATTTTCCCGACAAAATTTGGTTCATTAACAAACATTTTGGGATCTTTGGTATAATCTTGGGCATTTGAATAATGTGTTTTAGGGGGTAAATGATCATGAATCAAAAAATACGTTTACTGTTTTTGCTTTCTTATTTTTAGAATAATATTATTTTTATTGAATTATCTATTCCAACAGAATGAAAATGTTTGCTTATAAAAATCACAGTCTTTGCAAATAAAATGACCACAATAATAACTTTGGTTGAAAAAGATAACACACCGTCCATTGAATGGCTTGTTGCAAAAGCAGTAGAAAAGTTGGTAGGTGTAAACTCCAAATCCAGTAAAGCTTGTTATAAAGAATATGCAAAGTTGTTTTCGGGGGTGAATTTAGGAGGAAGTCTTTAATGGATCGATAATGCTGGCGTATAGAAGGAAATGTCAAAGGTATTTAGGTATATCGTGGGTTCGAATCTGAAATACCCCGGTTCACACCCCGGGCCCCAGGGCCAACTACCGAAATCCTGCACCCCGGACCAACTGCCGAAATATAATCCCGCACCCCGGGAAAAATTGTCTAAATTCGAACTTGCACCCCGGACCAACTGCCAAAATTTGACCCCAACGGCCGAAATATTGTCCCATGGCCCTCAGAATTTTACCACGCTAACGTACCGCTACTCCACCCTGGAAGACATATGGAAGCAAGGGTGCCAGAAAGCTGAATCTCCATCAGGTAGGCTTGAAAGAAGCCTAGGCGGCTACTCCACGTCCCAACACACATTGGGAAAATTAATAATAAATCCGCCGGCTACCTGACATCCTCATCTACAATACAGACCTGGCAATCAACATACGAAGAGTTCGGAAAGTGCTGCAGCGTTGCCAAGCGCTTGGTATACCTCTAAACACGAAAAAGTTCAAGTTTTACAGAACGAGATGGAAGGGTGGCTATCTTTGTACAGTAATTTAAAATGCAAAAGCACAAATACGTACTTGAATAAAACTTTAATTTCAAAAACCCTCTTAGGAATATCAAAAATTTCTGGAGAAGGCGTAAATGCTTCGCTGAGAGGATTTTCTAAAGCCGTTTGGGACTATAACACACTAGATAGTGTAACGGGTGACCGCGTTTCCGTTTTAAAATTTTTTTATTTCGTTCAACAGAAAAATTTAGATTTGTACCGCTTCCCAGAAAACGTGGACGTAAGTAGGTCTGGCGATAAGCGAAGTGCGTTTAGAATGACATGTGTGCTGAGTAGATAAGAGAAGCGCGGGCTCGGCGGCGTTGCTCTGTGCCAGGGTAGGGGAGGTTTTTTAATATCTGGAGGAGAGTGTAGAACAAACACGCTAACTCAACGGCTTCACTAAGTTCCGTTTCGGATTTTGAGTTGAGAAGTTTCGACTTTGATACGCCAGAACGCTATTAAATAAATTAATATTAAATTGCAGTAAAAATTTGAGGACAATTAACTTGTACACTCTGCAAAATTAATATTCAGTGCAGTGGGAATTTGGCTTTGTATCTCTGTGCCTAAATAAGATCACGATCCGTGCTTTCGAGAACCTGGTGCAAGTTTGCTTGTGTTCGCAATCAATAGGGACTACATTATACTGAAATTTCCACTCAAAGAGTGTCAGTATAAAGTAGGTACATCGTACTGCAAGACCTCAGTCTGCCATTGGCCGGATGGAAACCTACAACTAACCAAGCGCCATGGGTTACAAATACTTACACCCAAAAACATAACAAATTCGTCGTTGGTCATCAGTTTCGTAGCATTTTGATCGACGAATTCCAAATGCTCGTTGCAGATCGTCGAGTACAGCCTAAAATACGTATCCCTGAAACATTACAATTTTAAGCTATGCTCAAAAACAGTATGGCACCTACTCCTCTTCGGTGGTCTTCTGCTTCATCCTGTACTTCAAGTATACGTCACTGTAGTTAAACACCTTGGGGTGAGCGTTCACCTCCGGGCAAATTGTGATGGCCGGAAACGGAATCTCCCATATCGGAGTCTCGCGGGTCGCAAACGTGACGATAATCGGCGAGCTTTGCCACTTAAAGTATGACTTTCTGATCAAAGACGAGGACATGAAGAAAGCTACCAAAATTATCAACGCCCACCAAACCCTGCAACAAATTTGTGGTAAACAATCGTTAATTTGCAACGAGGTACTTCTCGAGGACGTAGCGCTTTCGTTCGCCCAAAAATTTGAAGCCGTGAATGGAGGTGTTATCGCAAAACTCGCAGAAGTAGTGGACTGTGTTCTTCGTGCAAGTCCCTTTTTTCCTCTCGTAGCTGGCCGGTCGCACTTCCGCTTCGGCATCCTGGAACTTCTTCGAACTTCGCTTTCTACCGGCGGTGAAGTTTACCTCCCCCTCGTTGTTTCTTGTAGGAATTACTTTAAGAAAATCAGTGGTATCACTCCTAGCTTGTTGCTTTGAAGACATTGTTGAGTAGAGTGAACGTTTTTGATGCTTGTCAAATTGCCAAAAAAATTCGCATGTGTTCTTACAGTAATATTTCAATAATTTTATGCTATTTTTAAACATGTTGTTTGTAGTAATGGACATAAACTGTGCTGAAGTATAGATAAACACTTCCATTACTAAAGGACTTGTTCAGAGGAAGTTAAAGTTTAAAAGCTTTTCGCAATTTTAAATAAAACCGTGTCTTAAGAATAATGATTTTGATTATAAACTTTTATAAATAACGTTCTTAAAAATTTTAACGTCCGCCATCTGTTTTTTTATTATGACAATGTAAACCGTTTTCGTGGAACTTTATTAATGCCTGTTGCTAACAGTGATCGAAAAGCTCATCTCCAAGTAGGTTTTTCTTTGGGAACTTTTCCATCAAGAAATGTCGCCAATTCCAATTAGTCATAAGATAATTCACATCACTCCGGTTCTTCCAAGACAATTTGTTACGTTCAAAGTAACAAAATTACAAGTAGGTAAGCGCACTCTAAGCTTAGGTAAAGTAGAAGTGGGGCCAGGTGAATAATAAAATAATTGACAGGGGTAGGAACATAATAATTAATCGAGTAATAAAAGGTTGTCACAATCGAGGGTATAATTAATGATCTAAAACTATTACAAAAGATCTGAGATGTCAATGTTTAAATTTAACTCAATTTTTTTAGCAAAAAGGGCTCAACTCGTAGTCAGGGAAATTATCAATGTCAAAACAGACTTCCGCAGAAAACAACGGAGCTATAATTGTTAAATTACCTTTGAACTCTTGTAACGACCTTTTGAGCTCAGAAGAACGCTTTTCTGCCTTATCTGCAACAGATGTATAAGTAGTAGATAATATCGAAAAAGTAATCCGGAAGAGAAAACGATGAGAACCTAGGAGAAAACTATGAGAGAACACAAGTCATACTCTTTACATACCTCAGACTAATTTCATACAAATATAAACCCGCTAAGCGTATTAAATGGAACATCCACAACACATCAGAAATAGAAACACTCCAAAGAAATATGGTGAGATTCACTACAATGAGCCCTTTTCAGGTAGACAGTAAGTTAAGTGAAATTAATGGCGTATTAAGAAAAATAATTTGCACGTAATCACTGTGCCAGATATTAAATTAAGGTATAAAGCGTGAACTCTAGCGACAAGAGAATGAAACAAATAACACTCGGGTGATCTCTGGCGGCGAAAATAAGAAACTAAGGTAATAGAAATAACTTACATTTTAACTAAACAGGTTTACAAAGGAAATACCTAGATGGAGTGTCAGAATATTGAATATAAACTGAAGTAATAATCGAATGTTAATAAATTAAAAAAACTGTTCAGGCAGGAAAAAACACGTCTATCGCTAAGCCTTATAAAAGTGAAGAAAGCTGTTGCTGCTATGAACCACAAATTTTGTGATGCTATATGTACTCAATATTTCTTTCCGTGCAAAATTCGTCCCGGTAAATTCGCCTTCGAAAATTACTAGCAAAAGTTAACTTGTCGGTAAATTCGCCTACAGACAATTTTGGGGCCGGAATGCTCTCTTTAATTTAATTTTTCAAAAACCGTTTTTAATTTGCTCCTATAAAGTACGCGATAGAGAGAGATTGCCTCTTAGCTTTCACCCTTCTCTCTCACCTACAGTATTCGCGTTTACCATTGGCACGCGCAGTTCATCTCTAATGTCGATGGAACAAACAAGTAAAATTTCTTGTTGGTCACACGATCTTCTTCTGTTTACTCAGCTGTTTCTTGACCTTTTTGTAGTGTTCTGGTCTTTTCAAAATTTCTTCTGATTAGACTTCCTATAAATTTTCGTCCGCCCAAAATTCTCTCAATATTACCTTGTATTTCTCCAGAACTTCCGGTAATCTTCTACATATTTCCTATACGAAGGACAAGAATAATGCCATTACAACCCCTCGGGATGGGTGTTGTTGCATTTTAAGTGACAAAAAGTCTTTCTGAAGCTGACGGCGAGTGCTGGTGTGTGTTTTTGCTTAATGCGCCAGTTTATCGCAAAGTTGTCCTCGACCACGTTATCAAAAGAGAAAAAAAACTAATATGAATTATCGACCGTCTGCGTACGAGGTACCATATAAAATCAAGCTTTGTAAGTTTCTTGTTATTCCAGAAATTTTGTTATTATGTCCTTTTAATTATGTTTATTCGAATCCATTGTACGACCCGCATAGAGGCTTTGTGTCAGATTTATCTCTTTGTATCCAGGATTTATTTGCTTAATAAATTATGACCACGACCATTTGTTTAAATGCCACGACCCAAGCCAACGTTTTTTCTTATCTGATGCAAAATTGCCCGATATTGTCTTCCATTTCTGTAAAGATTTTTGGATTTTTTAGGTGGTCTTGGATAGCAAGAAAAATTATAAATAAGATGGAGGAAGGGAAAGGCGAGAACAGTATAGTATGAAAAGGAATGTAGGGAAACCGAAGAACTGGAGATATTAGATAGACCTTATTTGGTATATAACGTGAAGGAAAATACGCTACATAAAGAGAAAAAAATGTGGAACTATGCCAAAGATAAAAATAGAAAATAAGGATTGCAAAAGATCTTATTGAAAATTTAAATTTTAAATAGAAGGCTTAACAAAGTTGTCGAAGAGAATGTAGGAGAGGACCAGTTTGGTTTCAGAAGAGGAATGGACACGAGACACGCAATAGGAGTGCTGAGAAGGATCCGAGAATATTTGGAAAAAGAAAAGCCCTTTCCGTGTATAGCTTTTGTTGACATCCTAAAGGCATACGATTGGGTAAACTGGGAAATACTGGAGAAAAAGAAGACTAATACGAAACTTACATATGAAACAAAACGCAAAAGTCAGGGTTGACTGTAAAAAGGCGAATTTACACAGGGATGCTGTTTATTATCGACTCTGTTTACTTTATATGTAGAGAAATATGTTGAAAAGGGGGAAAATATGGTATAAACATGGGAGGGAAGAGAATTGGTCATTTTCATTGAGAAAACGCGCGGCTGCATTTTCCGGAGAGCGGCATACGAGTGGTTTTTTTCTTCGAAAAATTAGGCCAGGCAAATTAAATTCATTCACAAATCGTGCCACAAAATTTATAAAAGGTAATTTCGAACGAAGTAAAATATTCAAAGCGCGAATTACTGCTTTTTAAGCGCGCTGCAGTCCAAAAACACTTATCTACAAGTAATTAATACATTATTCAACAAAGCCGCACTTTGACATCAGGAAAGTTGAAACGTATAATTCAGTAAAGCAAACTCTTCTATATATTGCTGACCATGGCCCATTCCCATACTTCACAATACGAAGTTCGATCTAGGGGGCTTGTTTTCAGATAATTTAATGACGAGTTCAAAGGACGCCCAAATTCAAAAATTTTGGTATATTCTAATCAACTGTAAAGTTTTCTAGGCCCCTTTGATGTGTTTGGACCCTCATCGTGCTCTACCCCATCATCCACCTCCTCCATCAATTCGTTGCCGAGGTCCTCCTTCCTCCAATTGATGAGGATAGGAGCGTTGGAGCACGCCTGGCCTTTAAAACACAGATTGTCGATAATTTAAGTCCTGGCTATCGACAGGTGGACCTCTTTTGAGGTGGTTATTGGGACCTCTTTGCTTTCTAATCCCAATCGAGGGGGTCTTTTTACCTTCCACACCACGCCTGTGAGCGATGAAATGTTGCATTTTTGCTTTATTGAATGTACCCCATGCACAATATCACAGAACACTACGGCGACGGCGAAGGCGACGCCTCAAAATCGTTTTTTTTTCTTGAAGCACTGTAATAATAGATAGGTATTTCAGTATTTAGCGAAACCCATTTCATTCGCGATCGTAAACCAACCGTTTTATAGCCCACCCGTACGCATATTTTGCGTTACTAACGTCGAATTAGCGCAATTTGTAAATATTTGCGATGATTTAGAGGTAAATTACGACGAGTAATGGAAAGGTGTATTTTTACCGGCTGAAATCATCGACCTAAGTTTATGCCCAATATTTGTTTAATAAACACATTACGTTATTGGCGTCATAATGTATTTTTAATTTATGTAGTTTTTTTATGTTCGTTTGATATTTTAATGTTTAATTTCCCTCAACGATACTTAAACAGTAACTAAAAATTATCTCTCCGAATTGACATTAAAAATGAAATGAGAACACTAGGAGATTAAATTCTGGCAATTGAAATCATTGTAAAAATACCGTAATGCCTTTTTGAGTATTATTTTTATTTATTTATCTATAGATAGTAGCTAGTAGTAGCTAGACAGTAGCTATTCAAAAATCATCAAAGTCCTCGTGTGAGATGGAAGGGTCTTCAGGGCACTTTTGTGTGTCACATCAGTATTATACTAGCCAGTTTTGACTCCACCATCAATAAGATCTTGTCAAAGACTACCACATTCCCTTTGTCGATACCCACTTCCGACGTCCCGTTCACCTTTTTGTGGATTTCGCAAAAAAAACCACAAAATAGTAGGTACTCAATTTTTGGGTACTTCCCATAACTCGAGCTTCTATTTGCGACACGAGAAAGAGAGGCCGCTATTAAAGTTCTAAGAATCTTAGGGCGTCCAAAGTCGACTACCCCTCCACGCTCCTTGCAAAAGGTGGTTAATTTCGTCCCTAGCTTAAAGAAGTTTTCAAAAAGGTTTCATGCGTGGTTTTGTATTTTTTTCAATGTTTATTCGAACAGGGCCCCTGACACTCGGATTAGAGTTACTAAATGCACCCCAACTTAGCCAATAGGATGGTTTCGAAATATCCTAAGAAACTTCCTGTAAGATTTGCAGGTTGTTTTTTTGGGAGGCGTTTTTTGAATTATTGCAAAATACGCAGGAAATCGCATTTGCACTGCAGAAAGACTTACTGTAACAATTGATCGAGAGTAGTATCAGATATTTAAAAAAAAATTTCTTTATTAGATATACCTCCAGTATCATGCACCGCGATAGTCTTGAAATTAATTAATTTATAACAGTTAAAATATTATTTATCAATCACCTATCCACAATTTATAAGAGCGGGAGCTATTTGTTACTTCGGCCTTGCAATTCGAACTCCACTGAAACGATAATGTGATCACCTTAACGGTAAGGGTAATGTGAAACAAATCATTATGCATTCCAATGACAACTGCCATTCTTATTAAAACTGGAACGCGGAGCACGATATAAAAATGAAGTTCAGAACATAATACAATATTGTTTCCATGGAAACGACCTAAGCTTGCTATTTTGGGCGTGTAAATTAAATACCCACATAACTATCATAAGTTTTATAATGATTTCTATGGCTTCTGCTATAAAATTAAATTTTGTGTTATACAAGATGATAAAGAGAAACTAACCATCTGGTGAAATTCTTTCACTCGGTTGTTTAAACATCCCTTTATCGTCTTGTATAATAAATAACTATTATTGGGTGTGAAGCTGTCGCATGTACGGGCTGTGTGACTACAGGAAAAATGCCCTGGAACAGCTCTGCAAATTTCCCCAAAGCCATAAGCATTTTATAAAAAGCATTTAGAGGCTTTGGAAGGCCCTCTAAATGCGATTCAGAGTTTTGGAGTATTCCAGAGCCTGGTAGCCATTTTCAAACGTTTTTGCTGAGCATTTCTGGGCCTTTCAAACTGTTTCTTCCCCTCTTCAAACTGTTGGCCTTTACCGTAACTTTCTGGACTCGCCTACTCTATAAAAAGCACTGATGAATCCAAAAACTCCATATGTGGTTTAAATAGTCCCTGGAAAATATTCTAAACGCACTTTAAGATATTTTGTAAGTTCTCGAGAATCTTCTGGGTATATTCGCCGGAGCTTTATAGTGTATTTAGTCGCCCGCCTTCAAATAAAACGAATTAAGACCTGCACGAAAAACCGAACCGGGCACCACAGACCCAGAGGCGAGCTCAGAGGTTTAGTTTTGATGACATCCTAAAACCGGTGACAACCAACGAGCCGTTCTTGATACCATATTATGTCAACTGGGGCCATATGGCGACCGGAAAGCAGAAATTTTCTGCTTCAGTGTCTGTCTGCGGTGTGTGCTCCGGTTCATGCACTAACGGAGCACCCATCGAAGACATCGTCGAAGATGACGATGATAGTTTTGACTTATAAACCGATTAAGATTAACATATATCATCAAATATTGATCCCAGCGAAAAATCGAATGGAATCTTTTATGTAGAGAAGTAAGTATAAGAATATATTTTGCTATGGACCACCCCGTTTACAAAAAACTCAAAAAAGGGACCTTTACACCCCCCTCGTCCGTTAGCTCCGCCCCCATACTTTTAGTATGTTGTATAAGACACTTCCTTCCACCTACAACTATACCAAAATTTGTTTCTACGCGAATTATTTCCTCCATTTTTCCTTCGTTGAGTAGGCGTTAATATATCAAGAGTATAGCTCAAATTACACCAAATGGAGATATTAGGTTTCGTTCCTTAGCTCAATGCCACAAAAAAAAACCATGGGTTTGGAGATTGCCGAATGTGCATTTTTTAAATTACGTGGGACTTTGACAGCATTTGGGATTGGTAGTAACAAAAGACATTAACCAATAAGTTTTGGGAGATAATCCGCCACTGTCGGCGTCCAAAACATTACGAAGTATCTAAGAGGGGCGAACGTTGGGAATTCGCGGTTTGGTCGTTGGGATGAACAGAGTATCTATGTTGTATTAGAAGTGACCAAATATCCCAAGGTCTCTTTTTCAAATAGTAAAACTATGTGGCCCAGGATTTGTACTCCCCGATTTCTGGATACCACCATAACAGTTCATCTTTACGTTAAAGGCGCATACACACGTTGGGAAAAATTCGCGTCCTTATTATGAAAATATCGCAACGAGTCAAAGAAGAACTCCGGGTTTTCGAGTAGTGCGATTCAATTAAAAAACTTAATTCGAAGTTTGTATCATGTAAAGGCGGCGCAGAATCCGCATTCTTTCCACTATAACGCGTTATAAAAGGATTTAGTTTTGAACTAAGGATAAACTTATTATTTGTTAGTGTAACAGTTAACGTGAACAACTTCCTGGCGTATTAACGCATCATATTCATGAACACTTTTGCATTACTTAAAGTTTAAGTGTACTGTAAAAAAGTTGCACAAATTGACTAAAACGTTAAAACAGCCCCCAACGATTCGTTATCTTCAAAATTTTCTGCGGAATCTACAATTGCAAGGGGCCCGTTTATCAACACACGATCCATCCGACATCTTATAATCGTAAGCGGTTTGATGCTATATAGCAGACGTCCAAACGTTTGTTACATTGTTATATATAGCGACAGGTGAGTTCAATTTTTTGTTGTTGGATACCTTTAGTAAAATTACGAGAAATACATTTTTTTCCAATGTTGCAATTTAAGTAAGTAGAAATGTGAACACATTTAACGCCCCCAATTTATCTAGATTTCATAATTATGTACAGGGTGGTTCGAATTCGTGGCGTGGCTCACCTTTGGGATCTCCGTAACGGAGAGAGATACAGTGTACGTTAAACGGGGCCCTCTTTGGTGACTAAAAAAACGCATTTGAAATTGTTAAAAAATCTTTATAAATAACTAAGATATCTATGGAACGCCGTTTTAGCATTTAATGTGCAACAATACTATATTCTTAAAGTAAAGTTTTGCCCGAATTTCTATTATCTTAATCATAAAATTAAATAATTAATTTTATCTTAATGATAATTTCAAATCATTTTTTTTATCTTGTGGATAATTTTAATTCCATTCCGCCATTTAAAATTATCTGAAATAATTGTAAGTGGCTATTTCAGCCATTTAATATTATCTGAGATAAAATTAAATGGCGCCGTGCGCTGCCTTTCTCTCTTTTTCCCTATAAAACAGCGTATTTCCATCTCGCTATGACTTGAAAAGGTGGCCATTTAAAATTATCTAAGATAATCGTAAGAATTAAATTTATCTTGGTGATAATTTAAATTTTGCTATTTAAAATTATCAACAAGATAAAAAAATGATTTAAAAATATCATTATGATAAAAATAATTATTTTATTTTATCAAATATGAATTATTTTTATCAATATATATAATAAAAATGAATATTTTTTATCTTGTAGATAATTTTAATTCTTCTATTTATACTTATCTACAAGAGAAATTGAAATAGTTTGTTTAAACTTTATCATTAAGATAATTTTAAATAGGCAAAATAAAACTATCTACAAGATAAAAAATATTCATTTTTATTATCTTGTTGATAAAAATAATTCATATTTGATAAAAAAAATAATTATTTTTATCATAATGATAATTTTAATTCATTTTTTTATCTTGTTGATAATTTTAAATAGCAAAATTTAAATTATCAACAAGATAAATTTAATTCTTTCGTCATTTACGATTATCTTAGATAATTTTAAATGGAAAATTATCAACAAGACAAAAGTAATTATTTTGCCATTATCCACAAGATAAAAAAAATGATTTGAAATTATCATTAAGATAAAAAGAATGATTTAAAATTATCATTAAGATAAAATTAATTATTTAATTTTATCATTAAGATAATAGAAATTCGGGCGAAACATTACTTTAAGATTATAGTATTGTTGCACATTAAATGTTAAAACGGCGTTCCATAGATATCACAGAAAAATTGATTATGTCGAATTTCGTTTTGATTTTGCCTAGCTTAAGCAAGATCTAGTTACCCATGAGTGTTTGGTTGAGACTTGTATAAAAAGCGGCCCATACACGCTCAATCATCTCCACACGATACAATTCCATGGCAAAAATCTGACTTGCGCAATAATATTGCACGTTTGTGAACAACCTTCAATCATATTGTGCACTGAATTTGCACAATAATATTGAGCGTGTATGGGGTGCTTTTAAGTAATTATTTTTCGTTTTTTCATTTCATTTCATGCTAGCCGGAATTTATCTATTTACTTCATCATAAAAAGGTGAATAAGGGGATGTAAGTAAAGAACACGAAAAAAAATTAGGGGTTTCAACCCTATGAAATAGGAAAACCCATTTCAAATACTACACGAAGGCTGCTCAGTTGTCGTTCTTCGAAGCAACCAATTTGACTGATTGGCTTTCTAATTTTTTCAAGATTTTACCCTAATTAATGTGGACCATTTTCATAATTAATAATTGCACCCTGAGGGGGCTTGGGTAGCAACGTTTAATTTAGTTAAAAAATTAGTGCAAATTGGGCTCGTGAATTACAGAGATACCATAAAAGGTCCTAACGATTTCTGTTTTTAGTAATGCAGTCAACCTGTTGCATGATTTGTTAAAATTAATTTCAATTAACTTCCAAAGTGAGATCACCTAAAATTATAATGGAATTAACTCGGAAGCAAATCCATCCCTGAAACACAATGCGTGTTTGCACAATTCTAATGTAAAACCGATAATTAGCGCAAAACGGTGACATTTTCTAATCCTGTCGAGAAAAGTGGTCAGTTCTAATTTTAAAATCTAATTACCTTCACATTTATAATTATTAGACATTGCCGGTTTATCACAAATTTTCACCAGATCGCACTAACAATAAACTTCGGAAGGAATAAGCGGCATGTTCGCTCCTTCCGTGTACATTACTGAAACATTTCAAACTGATAACGCTTGCTCTCCCACCTACATCCAAGTGCCAATGTCGCTATCTCGTATCATAATTGTACGTCTGATAATATAAGGCCACTGGTCAAACGTAATTTTTGATAAAGCTCTCCTAGAAAACGCAGGTGATGGTAACGCGCGGACCGAAAGACTGCCCTCAAATTATTTATGACGCAAGGGGGTGACGTTTGGAACGTTTTAATTAAAATATGTGCTCTGGGTGACGTGAACTTTGATTAATGTACGAGGGTCGCGACTAAAATCAGTCGACAGTGGATGTTCAAAGTAAGGGATGTTTCATCATCAACCCTCTCGTCGCTCATTGATGATTTAGGCCGACGTACAAAAACCCATCGTCATCGGCGAAGTTGGACGTTGATTGTTTGCTTATTTAACATGTGTTTTTTTTTGGGATTCCGTTTGCAAATTCTATTCCTGGAACTGATGGAAATACATAATTCACCGATCAAATTTAAAACTGCACGTCGATTCCATGTGCGTTTAGAGCTAACGCTTATAATTTTAGCGTGGTTACAGCTGACACGTTAGTGAATTCCGTCCGTCCATTCAAGGATGGCGATCTTGGAACTATAAGAGTATGTAACGGTAAGCGGCTAACACTATTACGTTGCCTGTAAAATTGAGCAAAGATCGTAGATCTACCAGAGAAAGACCAATTTAATAAACCCTTGTAACGGTAGCTCTAATTTTGGATTTAAATTTTGAGGTTCAAGTAATTTAAGAATTGAGCACCATCGAAGTACAAAATTTAGCGGTTCCAAATTATTTCCCAGATAAACATTGGTTTTGGAGGAATCTGAAAGAATAAATTGGGTTGACTGCAGTGCAAGGGAGATGCATTTATTTCTACGTATGGGGCATTGTTTCTTAATTGCTTCCGGAAACCGGTAGAGCTAGAAAGTTTGGAGTTATTTCCTCTTTTGAATTGGTACTATTGGGTTAAATATGGAGGCTCATCATGATAGCACTCAATATCATGGAACTTGGCCTGTATAATCCAAAAAATTATTACCTCAATTAACACAGAAGAGAATAGCGCCATCAAATTTTAATTTCGTTTCATGATTGTGGTCGCCGGAAATCACGCAAGGAGGCGAATGAAGGAAACAATGACGATCTTTGAAAATCTTTTAATTAGAGTGACTAAGAAAATAAAGATGTAAATATACTCATTTACATCTGTAATTCTAATAAACGTACACTATGATAAGTAAGAATCTAAAATGTATACCGTGGACGTTATCGTCAGTGTATTTGCTACCAACTTGATTATTATGAAATAGCTACCCTCAATTGGTAACAACCGATGGAGGTCGAATTATTAGTAACTATTGCCTTCACAGTATAAGTTCCCTAAAAAGAATGAAATGATTTTAACGTTTGAACGATGCAAGTTATACCCACCGATGGAGTACTGCTTGGCACAGTTTCCGAAACAACGACGGCTCGAGTATCGCCTACCGGTATGGGACATGTTGTCATGTTGCACAAATTGACTTTGTAAACAGTTATCGGAAAGCCGAAAACATTTGCAACCAGCGAAAAAGTAGGATCCGTATTTGACCCAATAGTTATAACTGCAATAAAATAGGCAACACTGTAATGGATTTCTTTACAATCACGAGGTTCTACTTACGAGTGGTAGCGTTTATGGTTACATGGACGTTAGAACCTTTTTTGACTGGGCAAGGCAATGCAGTACAGTTGTTCAGTAGGAAGTGATTAACCGTGGCACCGTTAACATTAGATGGACCCGAAACAGAGCAAAACTATTATCCCATCGGGATTTTGTAGGGTTCGGTAGGTACATAGGGTGTAAGGCGTATCAGCGAAAACCCAAACGACCAAAGTGGTAAAAATGAAGAAAGCTTGAAGAGACATTGTGAACTAAATTCTTCAAGCCGTGAGAGCTATTTTATATCAAATGCAACTTAAACAAAGAGATAACAACCCTTTCTTTGAGCAAACTGTATGTCACATTTTTCACAATTTATGGCTATAAGTTACCGAAATTTAATATACAAACAAGTAAAAACATAAGATAACACGTAGATTTACGTAAAACTGCACAAATAACGTAGACAGTATTTAACGTACTTAGATAAGCGTCAAAATAACGACGAGGGCCGTAAGTAAATATTTACTAAAAATTTACTTACTTTACAAGATACGAAGAGTCGCATACGATTTTCAATAGGAGAATTTTTTTCTACTCAGCATTCGGAAACCAGACTTTTGATCCGGCTCATATTCAATAGCACTGATCGATTTGCGAAACTTTGACTTTAATTAAAATGTATAGCCATTGAGATCTGATCACCAGAAACAGAGATAGAGCCCCCAATGCAAAGAGTATGTAACGCTAAGCGACTAACATTATTACATTGCCTGTAAAATTGAGCAAAGGGAGAAGTTGTCGTAGATCTACCAAAGAATAACCAATTTAATTAACTATTGTAACGGTAGCTCTAATAATTTTGAGGTTTAAGTAATTTAAGGATTGAGCACCATCGAAATTTTCAGGTTGTACAGAATTTAGCGGTTCTAAATTATTTCCCAGATATACAGTGGTTTTGGAGGAATCTAAAAGAATAAATTGGGTTGGCTGCAGTACATTTATTTCTACGTGTGGAGCATTGTTTCTTAATTGCTTTCGGAAACCGGTAGAGCTAGAAAGTTTGGAGTTATTTCCTCTTTTTAATTGGTACTATTGGGTTATATTTGCATACTCATCATGATAGCACTCAATATCATGGAACTTGGCCTGTACAATCCAAACAATTGTGACCTCTACTATCTTAACAGAGAAGAGAATAGCGCCATCAAATTTTAATTTCGTTTTACGATTGTGGTCGCTGGAAATCACATAAGGAGGCGAATGAAGGAAACAATGACGATCTTTGAAAATCTTTTAATTAGAGTGACTAAGAAAATATATTCTAATAAAGATGGAAATATACTCATTTACATCTGTAATTCTAATAAACGTACACTATGATAAGTAAGAATATAAAATGTATACTGGGGACGTTATCGTCAGTGTATTTGCTACCAACTCCATTATTATGAAAGAGATGCGGTGAATTGGAGACAAACGATGGAGTTCGAATTATCCACAATTCTTAGCTTCACAGTATAAGTTCCCTAAAAAGAGTGAAGTGATTCTAACTTCTGAACGATGCAAGTTATACCCACCGATGGAGTACTGCTTGGGATAGTTCCCGAATCAACGATGACTCGAGTATCGCCTACCAGTAAGGGACATGGTGTCAGGGTGCACAAATCGGTTTGACCAGTTACCGGAAGGCCGAGAACATATGTAGTCAGCGATATAGTAGGATTCGTATTTGCTCCAATAATTATAACTGCAATAAAATAGGCATCACTGTAATGGATTTTTTTCCAATTACGAAATTCTACTTACGAGCGGTAGCGTTTAGGGTTATCTGGACGGTAGAACCTTTCGTGACTTGGCAAGGCGATGCAGTACAGTCGTTCAGTTGGAAGTGATTAACGGTGACACCGTTAACATTAGATGGACCTGAAACAGAGCAAAACTATTATCCCATCGGGATTTTGTAGGGTTCGGTAGGTACATGTCGTGTAAGGCGTATCAGCGAAAACACCAACGACCAAAGTGGTAAAAATGAAGAAAGCTTGAAGAGACATTGTAAACTAAAGCCTTCAAGCCGTGAGAGCTATTTTATATCAAACGCAACTTAAACAAAGAGTTAACAACCCTTTCTTTGAGCAAACTATATGTAAAATGTAGGTAAATATTTTTTTCCATTTTATATCTTTAAATACTAAAATTTAATATACAAATAAGTAAAAACAATAGATAACACGTACATTTACGTAAAACTACACAAATAACGTAGAAAATATTTAACGTACTTAGATAAGCATCAAAATACCGACGAGGGCGGTAAGTACATATTTATTGAGAGTTTACTTACTTTACAAGACACGAAGAGTAGCATACGATTTTCAATAGGGGGATTTTTGGCCACTCAGCTCGCATTCGGAAACCAGACTTTTAATTCGGCTCGTATTCAATAGCACTGATCCCCAAAAACGATTGGCGAAACTTTGACATCGCTATCTCTTTTCGTTCTCGAGTTAGACATGCGGACAGACAAACGGACGAAACCATCACATAAAGGGCATTTCTATTCTTTCGAAAATTTCGTACATTTGTCCTTGTCTGGTAGACGATTTGGTGCAATATTCGAACCCTTGTCGATAAAATATACACACAATACTATTTCAAACGTTAAATCGAGGAGTCGTCGAAAGAGTAAAACAAAGACATGAACTAAATTGTAAATATTGGCTTAAAAAAACGGCAAATCATGAATAGGCATTTTTCGACAGTTTGTAAATTCTGCGTTCATTCTTGGCGTTCCACTGCGAAGGAAGGGCGGCGGAAAAGGTTATCCTTGCTGTTCAATGGTAGTATAATTCAATATAAAAGAAAAGCATTATCACTTTCAGAAAAAAAAATAATAGTAACAAACATTACCATGAAATGAAATACAAATACCTACGCCAAAAAATTAAAATTGACATTAAGAATGCATATATGAATTAAGTTTCCAGTACAGAAGCGGACATGAAAACCAATATGAATGCATTTTGGACATATGTAAAAAACTCTAAAGGTAACTGTACCTATCAGAGGAACATGTATCTGAACAATTCAAAATTTAATAAACCCTCAGATATTTCTTCCGCATTTGCAGAATATTTCGCTTCCGTTACAAGCAAGTGCCCCCACGTAATAAAATGATCGGAACGTGTCGATGTTTATAACAAACATATTGTCGATTGTCATGGCGGGCGAGACGGACGTAGTCCAAAACGCTCCGACTAAACCGTGTCGAAAATGTAATAATATTCCGCAAAGTGGAGTAAAGTGTGTTACCTGTGGTTCACTTTTTCATCATGGTTGTGTGAAGTATATAAAAAATATCATAGTTATCAACGAGGACTTGGTAAAATGTTGTGAGAGTTCGGACATTTTAAATGACAAACCATCAAATAGGAATGGCGATTACCGTATCAATAACAATGACTACGACTATCTTAAAAATATTGTGCAACAAAAGGATCTAACGATTAAGTATCTGGAAGAAACTGTAAGTGCACTTAAAGAACAAATTAATCTCTTAAAATACGTGCGCGATCTAATGGACGTCAAGACATCAAATCCCCTTGGTGAAAAAAACGCAGTTTCGGAAAGCAAAATGGACTCTGAGTGTTCCAAAGTTAAAAAAACCAAAAATATTGCAAAAAGCGAACATCGTTCCTTCGCTAATGCAGCTAAACAAACATTGCTTCGTGTCCAGCATGATAAGGATAAAGAGACGAAAAGTTCAAGTAAACCAAGTACCTCTAATAACAAAAGAGATATGTCACCTGTAAATAATCCCACAGTGTTATCTCTTAACAATAATTTATCTAAATCGGAGAATGTGGATGATTCGATTAATGACAAGGCTACTGAATGGACTACCGTCGTGCAAAAAAAAAGGAGACCTCGCCTTAGGAGCGAAGTGATAATTGGTACAAAAAAAGCAACTATTGGAAATGTCAATATTCCGGAATTAAAAGTGGCTCCCAAGGCAGTATTCATTCATATCTGTCGGCTTGCACCTGATACCACTGAAGAAGAAGTTACAAGTTATTTGTCATCAATTTGTCACATAATATCATGTGAAAAATTGCAATCAAAGCGTCCTGAAATCTACTCGTCATTCAAACTTGGTGTCAATGAAATCAATATGGAGAAGATCAAGGACCCAAATATCTGGCCAGAAGGTGTGAAAATAAATCGTTTTTTTCACAAGCGTCCACTGAAGATTCAAGAGGGCTAGCCGCCAAACATAATCAGATGAGCAACGTCACCGAGACCACGGAGGACTATTTCAAGGTTTACCACACAAACATACAATGTTTGTCAAGTAAAGTGAATGAAATTAACTTATTTTTTGATAAACACAAATTTGATGTAATCTGTTTTTCAGAACATTGGATGACAGAAGCCCAACTATCCGTTGTTAACATCCATTCCCTCTGCTTAGGTAGCTCCTTTTCCAGGAAGCATCACGGGCATGGAGGAGTAAGCATTTTCTTAAAAAACGATATTGTATTTAAACCTATATGTCTAAATAACTATATCGTTGAGATGAACTGCGAATTTTGTGGCGTTGAGTTACCCCTGAAAAAGTTATTCATAATTGCACTATACCGACCACCTCTGGGATCAATAGAGGTTTTCATTGATAATTTAGACAAGCTTTTGTTTGACTTTTGCAATAAATACAAAGAAATCATTATAACAGGTGATTTTAACATCAACTTTACCCAATTAGGGAAACATACAAAACATTTATTTAATTTACTTGATACATATGGGCTTAAGACATGTATTTCTTGCCCTACTAGGGTAGGTGCTACGTCATCAAAATGCATTGACAATATTGTAACTAATATTGATAACGAACTATATGCTTCTGGCATTTTAGACTGCGGCCTGTCTGATCACTACGGTCAGCTCATTTCTATAAAAAAATCAGATATTACAGTTCCCAGAAACTTTAATTATACAAGATTAGTTACTCAATTTCGCATTGATAATTTTAGATTATCGCTTAGCGAGGTTGACTGGAGTAGATATAGGCAAAACAGCATAAATGATCGAGCTTCCATGCTTACTAACATTATAAGCGATTTAGTCAAAAAACATTTTCCCATACGCAAACTTCCAAAGAACAAAGAACAGGTTGTCAACTGGTTCACAAAAGAACTAAAACATATGCGGTCTCATTTATCAAGACTTAAACAGAAAGCTGATATAACTGGAGATGCACTTCATCACGACATATATAAAAGATTTAGAACAAATTATCGTAAATTAATTGCTGAAACAAAACGAAATAAGTACAGTGACTTTCTTACAGCTTCTAATAATAAAATGAAAGATGGGTGGCGATTGGTCAACCAAGAAACTAATAAAATAAAAAGTAATAATATCCCCATACCACACAACGAACTGAATTCACATTTTGTGTCTATTGCAAACCATATCATTAGTTCTATACCTAATAATAAAATAAATCCTAAGAGTTACTTAGGTAATATGCCCTCCCCGGCAACTTCATTTTATTTGGCACCTGTCACCTACAATGAAGTTTTAAGTACAATAAGGAAACTATCTAAATCAAATAGTTATGATATTTATGATTTAAATAGCAAAATTTTAAATAACTGCATAGACATAATTGGTGAACTTCTCACTGAACTAATTAACGATTCCTTTCAAGAAGGAATATTTCCGTCTTGTTTTAAAGTAAGTAGAGTCGTACCGGTTTTCAAAAAGGGCGATAAAAGTTCGCTAGACAACTATCGACCTATTTCTATTATTCCCATTTTAGGTAAAGTCTTCGAAATATTAATAAAAAATCGTTTGGTCGAATATCTCGACAGAAACTTTAAACGACCAACAGTATGGATTTAGAGCGGGCTTTTCAACCACAAGTGCAATTGTTGCGCTAATAGGGTCGGTTGTTGAAGCTTTCGAGAGTAAGGAGACGGTTTCTGCAGTGCTTTATGACCTAACTAAGGCATTCGATTGTGTAGTTCCAGCAATACTTGAAGCCAAATTAGAATATTACGGTATCCGAGGAACGCCTTTGGCACTTTTTAGATGTTACCTCAGTAATCGCTTGCAATGTGTTTCATTTAACAATCAAATGTCGGACATAGAACCAATCTTGTTTGGCGTACCACAAGGATCAGCCCTAGGTCCACTTCTGTTCCTGGTTTACGTTAACGACCTACCGAATGCGGTTAATATAGGGAAATGCGTCCAATTTGCGGATGATACAACCATCATTTGCAAATCTACAAACCCATGCGATCTGAGTAAGTCGATTGATATAGCCGCTACAGAAGTGCAGAACTGGCTTGACTCCAATCAACTAAAACACAATCCCAATAAAACTCAAATCATAACATTTACTAGTCAAAAGTCGGTACACAACAGAAACCATGTCAAATTACTCGGTATAGTCATTGACAATGAATTGAATTGGGAACCGCATATTGATTTACTTTGTAACACGTTATCTTCAAGTATTTATTTATTAGTTAAGCTCAGAACATCTGTTGACAAATCTGTCCTCTTAAATTGTTATTTTGCATTTTTTCACTCGAAAATCAGCTATGGAATAACTGTATGGGGCAATGCGTCTCAGGCTATAAGAGTTTTTAGACTTCAAAAGAAAGCGCTTAGAATCCTAGTCAATATTGGTTCGAGAGATCATTGTAGAGGTTACTTTAAATCTTATAAAATTATGCCAGTACCCTGCCTATATCTATACTATACTCTAATTGAAATACATCGCCGAATAAATGCTAACAGTAAAGTGTCAGACAGGAGTAGTCGTCAATATAATACTAGACATCATAATTTGTTACTGCCCTTTAAGTTAAGGCTATGTGTATCGGAAAAAAATTCTTTAAATGTCTTGTTATATAACAATCTAAGCAATACCCTAAAACAACTGTCGTTCAATAAATTCAAAGACTCACTAAAGAAATATCTACTAGACAAATGTTATTATAGCATAGAGGAATACATGCTTACTACTTCATGTTCGATGT